TACACAAAAGATTTTGAAAAAAGTCCTTGTAGAGTTCAGAAAACGCCCTTTTGAAGGTTTTTAATGATTATAGAAAGGGGTGTTTCATGGCTTTATTTGTCTTAAGTACGTTTTCTCTTTCAAAGACAGATTCAGGCTGCAATTGATTAAAACAATTTCTCAAACAAAACATTTAGTACCACAGATTACCTCTTTATCTCACCTGACTGAGGAGGAAAAACAAGGGAAGGATCATGAGAATTCTTTTTTTTTTTGTGACACATTTTAACTTTGCTAATAGAAGAGTGAAGAGAAATCAGACATTATGTAAATAGGGACATTTATTGCATATTTACATTGTTTTAAGGGTGCAGTGTGCTAATCTATTGCTTTTCACCCAGGTCTGACATTCCTTCACATATTGCAAACTCAGACTACGTCTCACTAATAAGTGAAGAGTGTAAACAGCACAAAAAATGGGGTCACGCTTTTATTTTTTATTGACAGTTTAAGCAGATTTCATTGAGTGTTAAATAGGTGCACCTTTGCCAATCTAACAGAAGTAACGTTTGTCAGACATTAAATCTGAAAGTGCATTCTTTATGTGTGGGTGTGTTTGTGAAGTCTTTGATGTGCGCTTCCCCGACTGTAAATATGCTTGTGTCTGCATGTGCGTTCACAGGTCATCCGTTTCCCCATCAAAGGGGACCTCCACGTCCGCCTGGATGTGTGAGTTGTCATCGCTGCAGACCCAGCCGATGGGCGTGCGGTTGAAGGAGGGCCTTGAGCGGATGTCAGCCTGCAGGGTCGGGAGAGGCTCCTGCTCCTCGCTGGCAGTGTTTACCTCCGGGAGCTCGAAGGTCAGCATCTTGGATGCCTTCTCGAAACCACCGTATGGCAGTGCCGTCCTGGGAAGAAAATTAAAACCTGAATAGGTGCTAAGAGGTGTCTTTCTCTTTTTTGCAATGATATAGTTTATGGATACACAGAAATTCATTTAATATTGAAAAGAAATACAGACCAGCAAAGTTACAAAACATGTCCTGGGCTTCAAACTCGTTCATTTTTCTGGAAGTACCTGTTGAAGCTTTTGTACTGAGGCAGATCTGGATGAGTTTGGATGGGTCCTGGCATGCAAGGCTTCATGGAGGCTTTCAGCTCCTCATCAGTCATAGCTCGTTCCCATGGCGATACATAAGTGCGTACATATTCCTTCCTCCTCTTTGCCTTTTCTTCCTCCTCATTTACCGTCTCTTCCACCTCTGAGATGCAAATGTTGTAGAAATACCATTTGCTGCATGCAGTTGAAATAATTTAAATCATCTAAGTTATACATTTCCAAACATACTTTCTTCTTTTGGTTTCACTGGCTTTGGTGGAACTACTGGTGGGGACATCAGCAGATTCTGAAAGTTCTGCTGAAAGATAAAAACAACCCATACATTTTCATGACATTACAGCATATGCAATCAGGACATGTGGTTCATTAGATATTTGAACTCTCACCAGGTTCTCGTTGGTCACAATAAACCTCTCAACTCTCTGCTGCCTCATCCTGAACATCTTGGAGCCCTTGTTCTTCATCAGGGAAAGCTCCTCAAGCATCACATCCTTGGGCGTCTTGATTTTGGTGCCCAGGTCGAGCTCAGCAGCCTCATGATCCTGCTCATCCTCTGTCAGAATAAGGGCATTAAAAAAGGACAAACTTCTAATGAAACATACTAGAAATAAAATACGATTTGAAACATAATAATGTCTAAATTGCAAATATAGTCTTTGCTATAGCTGAAAAATGGCTAGTCCAAATGTTAAAGGCAAGTCTGCATGTCTAAACTGAATTTTGTGTCTAGATGGAAACATGTTTTATCCAAGAAAAACAAGAAAAAGTTATGACCACTGGCATCAAATCCAGGAATGCTTTTCCCTGTCTCATAAAAATGTTGAGCTTTTCAACCATATGCTTATTATATATGGAAACTGTTTTTATGGTAATCTCATAAAATATTAAAGCAATGCCTTGTATTTATAAAAGACCACTTAATCCCTTTTTTCCACTGACTCTTAAATTCATTAGAAATGATAAAACCTACTTTTTGATACTTTAACCCAGCAGTCCCCAACCACCAGGCCACGGACCGGTACCAGTCCGTCGGGCATTTGGTACCAGGCCGCACAGAAAAAAAGTATATATATATATATCATCATATATATCAAAGTCTGAGTGATGTTTTATTTTGAAAAATATAAAAAATGGCGTTATTCTCTCCTTATTACATCAGTCGGTGCAACTGTGCCTCTTGACACAGGTTAATTCAGTTCAAGACTCATCCTATCTATAACATCCTATCTTTGTGAAGCGGGATTTTCTGCGGTTACAGCGACCAAAACAAAGCTATGGAGCAGACTGGACATCAGGAGCACACTTTGTGTGTCATTGTCTCCGATTACGCCTAGATGGGACCGGCTTGTTGTTTTATTTTTATTCTGTTTGTATTTGATTTTATGCCAGTCGTATCATTTTACTTGATCGTATTTACCCCCAAACCCCCACCCACCCTCCGCCGCTCGGCCGGTCCGTGAAAATATTGTCTGACATATAGCGGTCCGTGGTGCAAAAAAGGTTGGGGACCGCTGCTTTAACCTATGAAGGATTTATGCTTTTATTTTGAAGTGTTTGTATGTGTCAGGGTTCTGGTTTTGGTTATTTGTATTTTGTTTTTTGGGTTTTTGCCTCAGTTAACTTATTAAATCTTCAAGACTCACCTCTGCCTCCTGATCTCTGCATTTGGGTCCTCAAACCCAACCGTAACAGTATATTTTATTCTCAAAGGTATTGTGGAGTATTTTTTAAGAGACCCTCCCTCTCCACTTAAAAAAAAAAAAAAAATGCCCCTGCAAGAGCATGCATGAGGCCATTTGACCTCATGCATGCCATGTTTAAAATGTGCTGTTCTCATAACTCATACAAGCTTACTGTGACTTTATAGCAAACTTATAGTTAACTGACCGTTTGGACAGAAGATCACTGCTTTTTGCTCCATTGGTCATGTAACTCCTCCTCCTTTTTTCGGTGCCTGCGCCATCTTTTATATTAGTCACCGCTGTCGAGTAGCAACAGCCTTTTGGCGACAGCGGGCAGCTGTGACTGCAAATCCAAGAATGCTTTGCGAGGAGAGCTCTCCGCATAAAGCATTCTGGGATATATCTGCCTCTACTGAGGCCTTTCTTTTCCTCTCATACACTTCATAGACACTTTTTCTCTTGAAAGTGCGCATGCGCAGAAAAAGATAGCTGACGGAACAAGCACAAATAACGGCATTATGTAAACATGTCACCAGAATGATTGACAATTGCTTGTTTTGATGATCCAGCCAGAAATAAAATATTCTCCTCTATACCTTTAAGGTGCGTTCACACTGAACCAGAATTAAGAATTTAGCCAGTTTTGTCTGCTTTTGGTTGCCTTGACATTCTCCTGGTCAGCAAAAGCATTTTACACTGCAGGCAAAGTGGCATGGTGGGCAAAGGCCTCCTACATCATGGAATCCGCTGATCGTGTGTTTAACCTCATCATGGCAACATGTATTTACAAAGGGACTGGCAGTGTTTTTTTTACTTTAGAAAGCCGAAATAAAAAGTTGTCTGCAATCCTAGGTTAACAAAAAACCCAGAGACGGAGCAAGAATGAGGAATAGGTCTGGATGACGGGCACTTTCTGCCAATCCAGGAGGAGATTAGAGGAGCCCCCGGAAAAATCAGTGCACTAAAGAATAAATAATACAGTAACCCCTCACTACTGACATCTTCCGGCAGTGAGATCACAGTGCGGTAAGCCTAGCGCCATTCTCCCAGCTTTACAAGCAAAATCAATGGGAGCTACTAGACACATCTGCAATCAACAACAATTATTTAAGATTTTGAGAGGACTTCATCATTGATATTCGTGAGAGCTATAGTTAAACTGACAATGCCCATGTGCATTGCAGTTGGATGTTGTAATACATCAGGTAAAAGTGAAAAACAATGAGTTATTTCACCTTTCCGATTTATGATTCACAATGGGTTCGTCATTGTATTGCCAACCTCAAGAAGGAGGATTTGCCATCGAACTTCTGGCCAGAGAAAAATCACATCATTAATCTGTTACTCTCTGCTTTGCATAGTGCACTGGTCACCACCATCATGGATAACAGCGTGTTGTGACAAAGACCAGATATAGCACTGGGACTTGCTCAACAGCCGATACCGCTGTTGAGCAAGCGAGGCGATGATCAAACATCACCAACGTTACCAAATTTGGGGCGTTCACCTCCCTACATTCATCACCGTCACCTTGCTTGGCTTTGGAACATTTTGCTTCACTCTGCTTTGCTTCTCTCCGGATCAGCTCTTCTACACAGAGATAACATAGGAATCCTTCACTCCAGCTGTGAAATTCACTTTCGATGTGAAGTAGCAGAATCTGAAGTCTATGCAGGTTTGTCCAACGTGATACTCCAATAAATAAAGGATGTAATTGTCAGGTGTGTTTTACCAAGAGGCTATACTTCACTTTACTTTTAGAAATACCCAGAGGTGTATAGTAACTAAGTACACTTACTTAATTACAGTATTTATGTATTTTTGGAGGATCTGTAGTTCACTGAATATTTTTTTCATTAAGAATTTTACTTTTATTTTTTATATTAAAGGCATAAAGTGTTACTTTAATTCTTTGATCAAAAATCTGGGACATTTTTAATCGCTACAGATTAAAATATGGTCAGATTATCATGAAACGGTTTGTTCATGTGGAATAGGAATGCAAACCGGAGAAGAGGAGCTGCAGAGGAAATTGGTTTCATCAAATTATTCCTCTATTGTTTTAACCAAAGTTAAATAGATGTTTTGCTTCTTTTTATGTAAACAAATACCAAGTACTTTTACTTTTGTAATTATTGTAAAAATGTCTAAGTACTTTTTCTCATCATAGACATTAAATTTGACCAAAGTTATTTTCTGATCATGTATTTGTTCTTTTGTTTATTGGTTTGAGTAGTTTATACAGCAACCTGAAGTGGAAACCTGTTGTGTGGTCTCCAAAGATGTCTGTTGAGGAATTTTAGGGGTCAGTAGGCCAAGTCAATATAGAACAAGTGTGCAGTAGGGGAATCTCAGGAAAGCTTTTCCTTTTTATTCATGGAGGGAATTACTCATAACACACAAGCCCTCTCCTCTGTGCTGCTGATGGAGAGGTGTGATGGATTTTACTGCTCCACAGAGCTCCTCATAAAAACATGCTCCTCATCCACCATGGATACACTTATATCACTCATAACACCTGGAGTTCGGCCATAAACCCCCCAGCCTCCCTCCTCCCAAAGCATACTCATCCATTAAGCTGAAAGTTGGCATTGCAGCGCTGCAGCAAGCTGTTAGTAGCACATCATAAATCAGGCTTGTGCAGGCTGTTGTGGGTTAAGTTTGTATGTATGAAAAAGAAATTCTGAGGATGCTGAGCAGAGCCAAGTCTCCCACAGGGATATTTATTAGTGCTGATTGAGAAGGACAAGAAACTATAGCTGACTGCTGCTGACCGAGAGGAAACTGGGCAGACGGAGAAGAGGTAGGACTGGACAGATGGACAGCATGTAGAACTGATAGAGTTATGTGATGGAAAAGGCAGCAGGATGATGGAGAGATGTGTTGGTATTAACTGAAGCAAAATAGGGGATAAGCAGGATTAGCTGCTGAATGACTGTTTGAAAACAAACTGGGAGAATACAGATGTGGCTGCAGATGGGATGGCAGAAGGCTGAGGACAGGAAAGAAACGACACATCAACAGGCAGATCACTCAATGAAAAGTGCGGAATGTTGATATATTACACAAACTACAGACATTGAGGTTAACCTGACCCTTAAGCATTGTTGCTGTTTATTTCACATCTATCACCAGTTTCACATCATTATAGGAGGGGAATGTAAATTGAACATCTCTTAAGTTTGAGCTTATTTAACCATGCTTTTACTCTGGACACTACATGTCATATTGCTGGAGCTCTTGTCACTGTCTTTTAAACTTTGCTTTCTTTTTGCAAGTCTTCCATAAAGGAAAACTTAATTGATTGTTTGAATAATAATTTTGGAAGTCCAAGGCTGTGATGGCCAAACCCATGGCCACACCTTAAGTCTGGACTATACATTCACCTTTATTTATTTAATCCATACACATACTTTAGTTTGCAATAAAACTTTATTCTTAGTTCAAATGCATGTGTTCTATTTGTAAGCGCACACATTTAGTTCACTGTATTTGTTTGCACTCATTCGTATGTCTTTCTGTTTTTGTCACTAATCTGTTTCTTACCTATGGTGCCTAGGAGTTTGGCCAGACAAAAGATGGCAGCCAGGGGTCGGATCTGCTAAATGCAGGAGGGGGAAATTGGACTGTTCCATCAGCTGCAGCTTAAATAGGGGAATTTGAATTTTCCTTACCTTTTTTTTTTTTTGCATCTTTCACTTAGGATTTGTTTGCAATTGGTGTGTTTTCATTTTTCTAAGATATAGATTAGTTGTTTTTGCCAAAACTAACTGTACTGCCAATGTTTTTAATTTGTGGTTGTTTGTTTAGTTTGAATTACCCCTATTGTGTTAATGGTCTGAAGAAATGAAACACAAGGGTATATATATATATATATATATATATATATATATATTTATGACTTGAACCCATGTATTTTTTGTAAGTTTCTTTTTTGGGTTAAAAATAAAAAAAATATATTTTTGTATTAATTCCTGTGACTCCTCATGCTTTTCATCACAAAGGCTTCCTCAGAGTTCCTCTCTGGTTAATGCACTCCATACTCCAATATTGGGTATACCATAGTGTCTCGATAGGTTTGCCGTTAGGCTCCCTTTTTGTTTTCACCTGATGTTAAATCAGAGCTCCTTTTAATGCTTAAAGGGTTGTTTATAGTTTTATAACCTAACTCTACTTTAGACTTCTCCACAACTCTAACAAGTCTGCTGCCTTCCTTGGTCTTCATGCTGATCTTCGTTCATTTACAACAGTTGCAGAGCATCTGGATTTATACTTATATTAAATTTCAAACAGGTGAATGCTTCTTAATACAGTAGCTTACTCAGCATTTTATGTATGGTATCCGAGTAAACAGATCCCTACCATTCATTCTTGCAGATTTGCATAAAACACATTAAAGTTTATGCACCGTATAACTAAGACGGGTCTTACAAGCTAAATTTAACTCGGATCCACATTGAAATAATAGCTCAGGGAGAAGAATACCCCCCAGTGAGTGCATCCATTTATCCATTAGCTAAACTACTTTTATCCTTTAGAGGGTGGAGCTGGAGCTGATCCCAGATGACACAGAGAGGCTGAGTACTCCTCACATAATTTGTTTGTCAATCACACATCTTTGTATATCTGAGCTATAATGTTGACACGTCAAAGCTGTTCTGACCACAATTGTATCATTTTACAAAAGCGAGCAAGCATCAGCTTAAAAAAACACAAAAATTCTGCTTCACAGCAGGTTTTACAGGAGAGATCTTTCCTAGGATTATCATGTATATGTCTCTAAAATACAAAAAAAAAATCTTTTTTTTATTGCTTTTTCCTTCAAACCGTTTTTAATTTTGTTTTTCCCCTTTTTTTTGGAAAAATAAACTTTGCATTTGGAGCATTTTAAGGCTGCCCAGCTTTAGTTTGAACAGATGGACCAACCAAGGGGACTGGCAGGAATTTCTGTAATAAACATTCAGTCTCTAAAGGATCCTTCCTGCAGTATTTGAAACTTCTGAGTCATTTTTTGGATGAAATACAGGAATAAACAGAGCCAATGTAGACAAATAAAGCAAAGAACAATAAGTATAAAGGGATATCAGCAAAAGGGACACATTTTAGAAGGGGTATGCTAAATTCAGTTTGGCAGAATGTTAAGTTTCTGCTGATAGTTTTGTAGCTTAATGTCATTCAGATGAAGGTGCATCTTGCACATATGCTCCCACTAATAACAGGAGGGTAATATAACTGTGTGCTATTTTGTATCGCCTGCTATGGTGACAGATTTGTGGCCCCTTCGCCATCCGATAACGACCCACAATCCTCCAGGAGACTCCACATGCATGTTGGGTATCCCGTTACCACTAGGAACAGGGGCGTGTTTCTGTGGGTGTGTGTATTTAATCATGGTTTCATACAACCACATGCAATGATTCACACTCACGCAGTTCTGTCTACAGCACGCTGACAGGGCAGACGGCAAACAAATGCAGAAGATTTGTTCTTTAGTCGAGCGTGTAATGAAGTCACAGCAGGTAAAAGAGAGTTTGACAGGAACACATTTAAGCTGCGGGTTTAGAGGCATGGCTGTTTGCTTAATGTGACTAACTCAGACTTTACCATTCTGGCTGATGTGGGAAAGGTCAGTGATGATCTTGCTGGCCTTCTTCCTCTTGTTAGAAGGGGCAGGGTTTGGAAGTGGCATAGCTAAATGACAGAGGAGAACAACATTGCTTTTATTCAACCACTTTTTCTTGTTTAGATCACATTTCAGGTGCATATCCAGAATTCAGAATATCAGCGAAAATGTTTGGGATACATGCAAAGTATTTTTTATTCTTTTATTTTTATTTGAATGATAATAGCTTACAGCTAAAAGATAAGGACAGCACATAGCTATTGCATTATTACTGACAACAGGGATTCAAAAAGTGGCCCTTTGGAAATTGCACAGTGGCTCTTTATAACTTTATTAAAAATTATAGAAAAATAAATAATATTTTTAAATGTGGAAATTATAAATAATAAATTTAGATCAGAGCATTTTTCTTTTTTTTTTTCATGGAAGATGACATTAAAGCCCCATTGTACTCTTCTATATATATAATTATATATATATTATATGTTTTGTTTTTTTTTATCAAAAAGATGCCCTTTTCAAAAGTTCCTTTAGAAATGTGCAGCTCTAACCTAGTTGTATCTAGCTGGACTGGGCAAAAATGGGTCATTTATAATGAAATAATGAAAACCTCTAACCTAAACATAAGAATCATGGGGAATACAACTGAGTTGATGGCTGTTCAGCAGAAAGTCCCCTTCTACAAGACGTAAACTGTTTTCTCTAAACCTGTAAATGGAACGTTGAGTAGAAGGAAAAGCTTTACAGCTTTACATGGCACTGGTCAATATGCTTTTATTAAGACACCTTTAAACCAGAGACATTAGAAGTGTTGTATTTGAAAACAAAAGGGAAAAAAGGTCTTGACTTTAGATCCATTTTATTTGGATGTTACAAGTGGTGGAGGTTTGACAGGAGGATCCAAATGCAGACTGAAGCTGACGTTGTTTATTGAAGATTTAATTAACCAAAAGTTCAACAAAAGCAAAGATCCAAAACATAAATCCACAAAAACTGAGCACCAGGAATATTCACAAGAACGGGGCAAAGAAATGACGAAAAACAAGCAAAGAGTGACTGAACAGGAGGAGAATACATGGGAGAGAGAAACAAAGACCAGGCTAATTAGTAGATTGGGAGCAGGTGTGCACAGAGGCAGGAAGGGAGCTAGGGATAAGGACACAAGAAGGCAAAGAAGAAATATCTAAGAACTCAAATACAATCAAAAATACCTAGAACACAAAAATGGAAATAAGACCAATGAAATCTCAGAGATAAAATTTGAAAAGAACCAAAACCATGACAGGTTGTCAACGTCCAAATCAGTAGGCAGAGAGAAGAGAAAGTAATGCTGATGTAACTGGACCTCAAGTAAGTTGAGGTCCAGTTTTAGGTTTCAGCAGTCAGCGCTGAGAAAAATGAATCCGTGTTGAAGTAAATGTAATATAATTCGATCTGTGAAATTAATAATAACATTTCAAGTTTGCATCTTTACACAAATATATTAATTATTGAAGTAAAAAAAGATACAATAGATTTTTTTTTGCAATAAGCTAATAAGCTACTGCATTTTATTCACTCTTTGAAAACACCAAATGCTACAACAACCAGAAGCCATTAGCATCTTCAAGCACCAACCGGACATGAAAAGATATCCTTGTGCTAACTTCACTGCTGCTTTTTATTTTTATTTTTTATCTAATAATCGGTTGTGCTTTCCTGTTTTTCTGTATTTTTCTGTATTAGTGTTGTTCTTATTCTCTCTGTGTGTTAGTTTCTAGCATTGAGAATCACCCCAAAGGCATTCCAGGCCAAATTTCTGGGAATGTCAAAACGATTCTTACGTTACATTAATTAATGTTGCTTTTTTAAAGCCTTTCTCCTTTTAAAAAATGCTTTTTGGAAGCCTAGCGGTTAGAGCATTGCGCTTAGGTACCAGAGGTTTTGAGTTCAAGTCCCAAACACTCTCACAGACTGCCACTCTGGCTCCCTGAGCAAGACCCTTAAACCCAGATTGCTCTCTGCTCCTCAAGGAGATATGCAGGTTATATGCAGAGAGTGAATTTCCAAATTGTGGGACAATAAAGGGATTTACATAGACACAGCACATTTGCTTATTTTTGGATGTGTTATTCACATTTGCATTTTCAAAAAGTTTCACAAAAGTGATCATTTCTGACGCGAGAAATGCTTTTTGCTTTAATATCACTCATATGCTGCAACCTTTTTCAACAACCTAGAAAAAAACACAAGGTTATTCCTTATGATGTTTTTTCATTATTAAGGTATGCTGTTCAGATAGAATTGAATAGTTTATGTTAGGAGGGTAAAATAGTGAATAGATTTGTTTTTTGTGCTCAGTCTGTTATAAATACAACACATCTCTCTTTCAGATGTAATTGAAAATATAAAAAAATATATCAAAACAAAAACTCATGTTTTTGTATATACTTGTATATAATAGAAATAAGTAATTTTTACTTCAAAAAGTCATTAAATGCCATTTTTATCAAGTTATCTTTTAGATCAAATGCAAAACCAAGTTGGTTATACTTGCTTATTTAATTAACTTTTTGTTGTTGTTGTTTGATCTACATAATAAAAAGTTGCTTTTACTTGCCAGTTTAATCTATTACATACAAAAAAAAACAAATGATTGTTCCCAATTGAGTTTTTGTTTATCTTGACAAAATATTACTTGACAAAAGCAACTTCACTTTACTTTGATATAACTTTTCAGGTAAGTACTCTAAACAAAGAATTTCACTTGATCAACATAAATAAATGATGCAAAAAGTCACCTACTTTTTTATGTAGATAGAACAGAAAGTTAGAACAGAACATCTGTATCAGTGGTTGGTTAATACAAGAAAATAAAGAGACTCACTCACTTTTATTATTCAATGGAGAGAAACTAACTGACCATAGAATTTAGACATAGATTAGAAAGCGGGTAAGAAGGAGGAAATTTAAGAAAATGAAATAACAGCCCAGTATCAAAATATCTGAACACCTTTGACCTACTGGTCATTGAACTATTTCACCTATAATATGAGCTCACCTGTAGATGTTTAACTGCAACCGCCTGCTTGTGTAAAGCGACTTGATTTGGCAAACAACCGGCGTGAATTGGTGAAAGAAAAGGAGGGGAAAACCAAACTGGACAAATAAGCAGCGCCTGCTATTGACACAAATCTATGAGGAGGACAGACGACTGAGAGGTAAATCAATGATGGGATCATGGCAAGAAGAAGCAGACTTTTTCTCTGCACTTTTTCTCACATTTTGTGCTCAAGCTGAGAAATTGAGAAACCCTACAAACAGCAACCTAAAGCCTGAAAGGAAGAGCCATCAAATAGAAACATATCGAGAATATGTACAATACAGCATTTAGTTTCCTATCTCTTTAACATATTTCTATAGAGTGAATATTATTGCATTTTATTTTCTTTAGTGTGTATTTATATATATATTTCCTCTAACTGATTATTTTAAAGGTTCTTATGTCATACTTTTTTTTTTTAACTCTTCCTAAGTCAACTACAATAATATCATATTAAACATTGCCTCTGGGACTATGGAGTATTCATTTGTTATATTAGTTGTATTTTCTAACCCAAAAGAACAACACTTGCCTTCAGTGCAATATGGGTGCAGCCCATTTTATGATACCACTGTGTTACTCCACATTTGATTATTAAACCAGATCATAGACCTCTTATTTTCCTTCCTTTCACTGTGCAGATCAGCTACTAAAAGAAAGTGAGCGTGTTGTTATGTAGGTAGGTATGCCAGATTCAAGGCCGGTGCTTCCTGGAGGGTAATCACTGCTCTATGTAGGTATATCTAGGCCACTTGTTTTTCAAGGACATGGAGGGGCAGTGGCTCAGAAAGCAGAATTCATGAGGATTTCACAGACATTCGTGAATCAGGCAAAATACCACTTTGATTTGCTCAACCTAGCTAAAAAACAAAAGTTCTAATATTTTTCCTTTTTTTTTATGATTTTAACCTATTTTTATTTTCAATAAAATTATGTTAGAGGTGCATGTTTAACCCATCCTACTGCTGAAACTAACTGATTTTCCTTTTATGTCCATATTGATAATAACAATATTGTAAAAGAAGCTTATGTGCTCATTTACTCTTAGCCTCATTTAAGGTCCTTCTCACTATTATATTTTTTCACTTTAGGAGCTCTCTTCAGCTTAAGCTATTTTTAACTTATTTACAGAAGCAACATTTTAAGAAACATTCTTAAATTCAAGAATTGTTAAGATTTTCTCAAATTACATCACTAGGAATTACTTTTAGTCTCAGGATTCCTTTTTGAAAACAAGCTCATATACTTAATTGACCTCTTTATTAGCTAAACCATCTATACAGGCTAGTATTTTCAATAGGAAACATAAGAGACACCAGGTCCATCAATGCAGTGTACATAACACTAATTTTATTTGCGATATATACAGTATTAGTTATTTCTTCTGAGAAGCAGAATTTTAGAGGTTTCCATCATCTGCAAAGCATAATTATGGAAGTTATCAGAAAAACAAACAATAAATCTGTTTAATATTTGGGATTTATGTGTAAGAGATTTAAGTAATGACTGTATGTTATTGTATCACAACATTTGATTATATTCAACATAATGATTATATTTATTAAATTGCTGTAATTGTTGATTTCAGCAATTTAATGGACAATTTCGGTTTTTCACTAAAACTAAACAGATTTGTATCTAAACTGAGCAAGTGTTTCATTACACCATGACCTCTAATAATGTTCCTTATGACTCTGGAAGATAAAGAAGCCCATAGCATCACTAATCCTTCATCATGCTTAGCAAAGACTATGTGGAGTCTTTTCCCTTTTTACGTCTGAAACCATTAATCGTGAATAATCGATTATTAAAATAATTGCAGCTAATTTAGTAGTTGATTAAGTGGAGACTATAGATTCTAAAACATGCCTTTAGCTGTCAAAGTAATCCACTTAGAGCAGTAATAACACCAAAATTGTAAAAAAAAAAAAATGTTTTAAAAACATTTTACTTTCACCTGGTTTAGTTCTGTGCTGTCCATTTCTAATTATTAATCAAATAAATCGACAGATTAATCAATTAGCAATATAATCGTTAGTTGCAGCCCTACCCCATTTCTTTGTTTTTCATAAATGCTGTTTGCAAATGCTTTACTTGCACAAGCTAATTCTAACAAGGTGCTTCAAAAACCTAATAATAAAGATTTTTTTAATCTTGCTTACTTTTACGTGAAAATGAATAATTCCTAATACAGTGGATGTTTCCAAAATAAGCTGGCCTATCTTGTAAGATTTAAAAGTTTTAAACAAATTTTATTTAGCGGGATTCAGGGCAAAATAGGTTTTTTAGATTTGAAGGTATTTGATCACTGGTTATTGGGTGGGGATAAGAATATTGTTAGAGAACTGGATACATTAAAAGATGATCTATGATGAAAGAGTTAAATGAGGAGAAGGAACCACTTCTTCCCCATGTTACTGCTCAATTATAAGTGGAAAAAAAATCCTAACTGCCATTACAGCAGCAGAATCCATCTTTAAATTACTTAAGATTAAATAAAATGGAAGGTTTTCCATGTTTCCACCGTTATTTTGCTTTTCTTTGATGATAAGCTCAAGTTGTTTAAGGCTTTCTATCACCCTAATCTTTTGCTCCTTCAGCAGATTATCAGATATGAGTCAGCTCAAAATATAAACATTAATTTTTGTCAGAGGGAACATGTTTTTAAAGAGGATATTAAATAAAACCTAAACAGGCAGCGGTATGAATAACCATGGACAGAAATACAGCACAAAAATGGTGAAATATTTTTATCAACTAATCAGAGTAATGTATAATATTTTCCATAACCAAAGGTGGGGAGAGTACTCAAATGTTGTACTTACGCAAAAGTAGCACTACTTATTATATTTTTACTCAAATAAAAAAGTAGTTGTAAAAAGTAGCCTAAAAAGAAATTACTCAAGAAAGAGTAAAACGGCATTTGGCAAAAACACCACTCAAGTACTGAGTAACTGTTTTACTCAATACTTATGATCATGAGAACTTAATATTTCTTCATTATACAATTTACAAAATCAATGGGTACAGTATGTAATAATAGGTAAAAATACAGTATATTGTTTACTGTTATATCACTCAACCTTCAAATGCCACGGGAGACTCAGCAGGTGGAAAATAACATTAGCTGATCAGCCTTGAGTATAAAAACAAAGAAATTGTGTCTCTTAATAGTGCGTATCTGTTTAGAACAAGCTTGGTTTCATTAGGTGAAGTAACTCTCAATGGATGGAGTAGCCAGAAATTACTTAAGTAAGAGTAGTGATACTTTATCATATTTTTATTCAAGTAAAAGTAAAAAATTCTCTGATGTAAAACTACTCCCTAAAGTATTTTTTCAAAAAGTTACTCAAGTAACTAATGTAATTGAGTAAATGTTACAAGTTACTACCCACTACCCACATATGGCAATAACTTAAAATGATGAGCTTCATTTCTTTATGTTGTTTAACCTTTGAACTTTGTCCGGTTTGAAGGATGACATGTCAAATGGATACCAAAAATAAGTAACATTAAGAATATTTGGGCAAATGTTTATTTGGTCTGTAAGGTATATTTCAGAAAATTTGACTGCCCAAGAAGATTCAAGAGATTTCAAAAAAATAATAAAGTTGTGCCTAAGTTGAGCCTCCGATTGAAATAGACTCAAGTTAGAGATTCAGAGGGTCCCTTAATCAGGGGAAGCTCACTTTAAACATGGCGTGCAACACCACATATGCCCCTGAGGGCATTAATTCCAGGTGGCAGCTCGCATCTCTTTTTGACTAACCGCTCAGATGGTGCTGAGGCAGTAAGTCGCTGTCAGTTGAACAGGTCGAAAGCAATTAGGTAAAGCTGGAGGTGAGTCCCAGCGCACAAGAAGACGCAGAAGGGCCCGTCTACCGGGAGGGAGTTAATGTAATTGCTTTTCATCCTCTGTAATTGAAGCTCATTTCCTAGCCGTGTACTCGGTCCTCTGTGAGCTATTTTTATGAGCCCATCTTCGAAAGCACACAAAAAAACACTCTTGGATTTTCCCTCAGGCGGATTCTCCCCTGTGATTATTATGGACCAACAGAGGAAGGATTGAAAACTGGAGATTACAGGTGGGGATTTTTTGGATGGTGGCAGTGCTGATACCGGCTACTGGAGCTGAACACGAGTGCCTGTGTGGGTCCAGTTACCCCCACCTCCAAGGAGAAGAGGCGCTCCTTTCCCCTTTACCCGGCCTGTTTTAGCTCCAGATAAATCTCCAGGGGACAGCTGGGGAGGAAGGCCATCAGTCAGCACATTCTCAGAAACATCCATCCGAGTGGACTAAAAACTCCACTGCAGAGGGCCACATTCCTCACCGACTGCAGGTTTCAGTACGACTAGGTGGAGGATCATAGGAGGGAAAGTCACCATCTAACTTCTAGCTAAAATTTGGTTTAAGTAATATGGTGAGAAGGTTAATAAAATATGTGATACAAGGTAAATCTGTTCGAATTATGCAAAATCATTTTTTCTTTCTGGCAGTTATTGTGGATTTTGACAGAATTTGGTTTATTGTTTCTCTTTTAAACACTTTAAAACTCTTCCAGTCACACTATTTCCAAACTCTACCACCTAGATCTCTCAGAAACATCAAAGAAATGCCAGATCATTTGATAATTTAGTGCCAGATAACAATTAAAGCAAATGTGGAAGGAATTAATGCTGTGAATTGTCATCAGTGCTGTCACACACTGGGTCTTACCTGGACGTCAGGTCTCTGCAGAAGGAGGATCCAGGTCCCGGATAGATAGGAATCTAGATTCCCAGATCTTGTATTGTACTGCCTGCCCTCTTCTTTGCTCTGCAGAGACTGAAACTCAATCAGCTGAGCTGTTCCTCTGCTTTGGACCAGGTCATGTTGGGGGGAGGTGTGGTGGGTGGGGTGTTTTCACTTGAAAGTTTGTTCAGATGAATTCAAATTTGCCATTTTATTTTTATGAATATGGGAAAAGGTATGAAGAATTTATTCCTTGTCTAAACTTTTCCATGTTTACGATCAAAGCAATAATCAAATTGTCTAAAATAACTTGAACTCTGATAATTTTATAATCTTCCAAACAGTGGAGAAACTAAGTATTATGCACATCAATAATTTATCTATTATTGTAATTTTCACTGTTAAAATCCCAATGTGCTTTACAGTCAAATAAATAAAACCAAAAATCGTCCAGCTATCCTTTTCTACTTATCTGAAAAAGTGAGAGGTTAATAGGTCAAAGACAAACACAGATATACCTCTCCCCAGCTACACCCTCCACCTCCTGTGAATGCAATGGGATCAGCCAAGAGGTTGATCCCATTGCATTCACATGAGAGAAAGGTTGAAGAATTAATTCTGGAATTCATCATCATCAGGTCACATCTGACACCTTTTGTTGTGAGGGAGAAGCAGCTTTACTCCAAGTTCTCCTTGCATGATTGAGCTCCTCACACTGCCTCTACGGCTGAACCAGGTTTCCCTACAAAGGAAGCACATTTCTTAGCCGTTTTTGAAATACAGTTGTTTTCCTCCAAACCTGTATCTCATGACCTTAAATGAGGGTTGGTATAGGAATGGACCAGAAATTAAGACGCTTAATTTTTGCTTAGCTTTTTTTTTCCTATGACAGCTCTACATTATTGTAAAGGCAGTCTAAATTTAACACCAATGCAAGATTGTTACCTGGATCCATTTCAGGAAAATCATTATATGATCAATTTAACATAATGGAGGATTTTAATCACCAGAGCTTAGTTTTCTGGGGTCTTGTCCAGTCAAAGACAGTTCCTGGTAAGACTATTCAAAACAGGATCCAGGATGATCACATCCACAGATGAGCTTCCTATGGACAATAAACTAAAGGGACATTTGTTGCTGCTCATGTGTGAAAATTTAAGGGATATGAATATTTAGCAAGGCAGATTACTCATTTTAAAACATTCAGCCAAACCCAAGGCTTACCTAAACATTAAAGGTATAGTTCGTGTTCTGTGTGAACGCACCTTAAAGGTGTAGAGGACGATCTTCTATTTCCAGGTGGATCATCATAATAAGTGGTCTTCCTAATTGTCAATCCTTCTGGTGATATTTTTTTTTTTTGTATTCAGCTTTTATTGTCATTACACTGTCACAAGTACAGAGCAACAAAATGAACTCTCCGCATTTAACCCATCCCACTGGGGTACAGTGGGCTGACACGGTGCCTGGGTGCAGTGTGGGGTTAAGGGTCTTGCTCAGGGAGCAAGAGTGGCAGTCTGTGGGAGTGGGGTTTGAACTTGGAACCTCTGGATTCCAAACACAATGCCCTAACCCAATATGCCACCACTCCCCCAACAAACACTCCTAACAGAGAATGGTTTTGATCCATCAACCTCTTGGTTATGGGCCCAGCACGTTTCCGCTGCTCCACTCTGCTGTACAATGTTTACACATAGCAATGTAGCGCATCGGAAATGATATGTTTACTTAAGGCTCGTCCCCAGTTTCACTTAAAAATTGCAAATCTTCATTTGCAAAGTAAGTTTGTATGAGCAATGCAAACAGCAACTTTTAAACAGAGCGTGCACGGGGAGAAATGGGCTTGTGCAGGCTCTTGCAGGCATTTAATAAGTGTTTCCTCTCCGAAGCGGGTACAGGGTTGTGTTCAGTATGTGCTTCTTTTTTTTTTAAGTAGAGGTGGCGGGTCTTTTCAAAAATTTGCGAAAATCTTCCAATATACCTTTGAGCCACAACAGTTAATTTTATAGATAATCTATTTAGATATAAATGAGTTCAAACAGATAGCCCACTTTACATCGAAAGGTGTTAAATCATGATAAAAACAAGTTAGAGAATGCCTGTAACTTGTGAACTTGTTCAACCTTTTGACCTGTGACCTAAAACAGACAAGCTTGTTGACCTATAACTGATAGGATGTGAAGGGCCATATGAAGTGGCATCTCTTGGCCTCAAATCGCATTTTAAAAAAGCCATCAGAATGAAGGGTTTAGCCCTGTGATAAACAGTTGGAGATTAATGGCTCCAAAAATAGGTGAAATGAGCAGTGTTTGTGTGAGTATCTGTTTTACTGCATATGTGGGGTCTATAGGCTTGGGAGGACCTAAAACATGACCGAACAAGATCAATGGTCTTCTTTAATGGCAACAAAATCTGGGTTGGGTTTATAAGTTGTTGTCTTTTTTTTTTTTTATCTGAGGATTTAAAAATAGAACTCAACATTAAATTATACTTTTAAGTCTTGCATGATTTAGGGGTTTAGCCTTTAATTATAGACAGTAATATTAAAATTTAGGAATATTATTTGCATGTGTTTTCCTTTTAAATGGCACAGCAGCTAAACTTACCATAAGATTGGGACACGACTAAAGTTAGCCCCGAACGTTAGCTCCCATGTGTCAAATGATCCCTGCCAAGGGTCAAAGGGTGGATGCTTGGGTTTCGCAGCTCCAACACCACCAGATAGATGACAGTAAGCTACTTTTAAATGTAGGACAATATCTTAAAAGACCAATTAAAAGTAAAGGACAACACAAACTTACTTGAAGACATCTTTCCTTGATTTTCTTTCCCCATTAACAGCTATGCCTTTTCAAAAATCTAGCCTTATTTTAAATTTAATTCCTGACTTTTTGCTTAAATGTCATACCGTAAAAAAGAAAAATCTTTAAAATCTTTAAAACAAATCAACAGAAAGAAGTACAGATTGGTGACAAGGAAAGGAAATGATCACGTTTCAGTAGTTGAATGGATTTAAACATTCTGTGCAGCATGCTTTTATATTCTGTACTCTTCTCATCAATACCACTAAATAAAGTCCAATGCCATCAGTTGTGTGTAATTTCTCTCAGTGTAAATCCAGCTGTGCAGTGAAGGCATTAGAGGTTTCATGGAGAATATTAGTGGAGAAAACGTAAAAAAAAAAAAAGGAAAAGGTCAGAACAGGTCAGGGAAAACATTCCTAGAGACGTTCACAGCAAAGCTGGCCTATTAAACCATTTGTCCAACTTTCAAAGGGTTTAGTTAGGTACTATGGTGAAATAAAAACACCAAAAAAACCATCATATTAAAATAAAACATCAAGCGTTTATCCAGATAGTGCGAACTTTGTCCCTTTTTGGCCTGAAAACAATTTTTGTAATCGGATTGATCAACAATACGTTGTGTGCTGGCAGTACTTACTCTCACATTCATCCTACTTCAGCAAAAATCTAATTAATATTTCATTTGGGGCATTACCTATGTCTTATTCCTCCTTGCATCAGATACTATAAATGTTTTGCACATTTCCACACTTCCTTTCTCATGCCGTTGGGTGTTGACTTGATTGTTTTTCCTTCTTTACTTGTTATGCCATGAGCAATATCATACCCTCAGTCACTTGGTTGTGTAAAATGGGATGGTCATGGTGAATATACGAAAAGCATTTTTGTGTTAAGAAATACAGACAACAGAATGAAAAAACTTAGACAACTTAGACTCAGACCTTTGAAGGCAACCAGCATGACTAGCTAGAGTGGGATTATATTATGCGAATTGGCTCCATTAAAGATCTCACAGAGAACTATTTAAGTCATAATAAAAAGAGGGAGTATAGCTGAAACCGAAAACCTATGGCTATCCACCTTTTCTGAAAAATGGAGAGCATTTGCCAAAAAAAGCAACCAATTCATTAATCAATTCCATCAACTCATCACTCTCATTTTGAAGCATGGTATGTCAGAATCATGCTGCGGGATGCTTCTCTTCACCACACATACAGAAGCAGATGAGGGTTGATGACAAAGATCCACAAAGCTAATATAAGAGATTGATTTAGCTCAAATGTAATCTGACGAGAAAACAATATCAATCAAAACGAGAAAAAATATTTTATTTTTATTTTACAGCTAAGCATTTGTTGATTGATTATAAAACAATAGAAATAACTTGCTATAACTATTTTTATTAGTTATGCAATTTTATTGTACAGTTACAAGTTTCTGTTGACTTCAATGGGTGGAAATACTTTAATGAGAAACTGTACTTGGAAATCTAGCTATTTGATGCAAGAAAAAACTAATTATAGATTTGGTAAATATCTGAAACAATAAATCTGTAATAAAAACACTTCAATGAATTTCAATGACGCAATGTTTTTTAATGATAGTCCTACAGCGCCCCTATGTGGTCAAAGGTGGGACATAATTAAAAATTTTTTTGTGTGTGTATGACTAAACATTCATGATATCAAACCAATTTGAGTCTAAAGTAGAGTGACAAAATAAAAAGGCTAAAAATGTTGAATGTAATGGGTGGGGAAGTAGATACTGTAGGTTGACGACGTGGGTGACACAAGGAGAGACAGAGTGACAGCTGAGGTGACTCACGTCTATTTTTATTCAACTCCATGTTTCTGTGAAAAAGAATCACAGCTAAACAGACATGTTGTACTTATATACTGTATTTCATGTTACATGTCAACATGCAGGAAAAGGCACACAAAGATCAAGAATCACACTTAAGTACATAAAACTACAATTCTATATGATCATAAGAGTACTAATCTAAAAGTGCTGTCATGTGATATTAGCAGGTATAGGATGTTGTGGATTGTGAAGGTGTGAGTCCAGACCACATCTTTGAAACAAGTTTCAATTAAATCCGGCTGCTCTAATTGCTTTCTATACATCTTCTCCCAATCTCTGCTACCTCTCTCCTAAATCGACCCAACTGTACACATCCTCTAGTCCACTTGTTTTAATCATTAAACTCAAATCGCTCTGCATGAAATTTACAAAACCTTCAGATTTTCTAACAACTTAACCATGAATGAATTTGATCACTGAGCATTTCTTTCACTTGTTTCACCAGATGGATCAGGTAATAGCTGGGTGAGTAATCAGATGTAATTACGTGAATTTAAGTAATATACTTTGGTTAATGCTTTGATTATGTAATTAAAAAATGTTTTAGGTATAAATAGTAGGTAATTCGCAAAGATTTAACAAATTTTCTTCATTTCCTCACAGTTTTTAATTCTTCATGTCCAGATGAAGATCTACTTAGTGTGTGGTGGATCCTGGACGCCATATACAAGGTTGTAGACCCAAGTTTGAAGTACTAAACCGAGGCCTGGGGACCCTGGGAGGTTGAGAGCCACTGGGTGACTGGTTGGATCCCAGAGGACTTAGATCTGGGGCACTCTTGAAACTCCTGTTGGACTGCTGGCTGGCCGAGGGCTGAAGAGAAAAACTTGGAGGTTGGACAGGACTTGAAACCGGATGGGAGGTGAAGGTTGGAAGCTGAGGAAGTGGGGCAGTGGGGGCAGGAGGCATTGAGGATGACAGAGGTGAAGAGGCCCACTGGGGTTGGATGGGCTGGGGTGGACTGTGGTGATTATCAAAGGGCACTGGTCCAGTAGTGGATGTGCTAAACTCGTCGGAGTACCTCAGTGGTTCTCCAAGTGTTGTGGCTGATCGAGGTACAATAACTTTAGGGGTGGGTCCCGTGGATGTTGGAGGAGGCGTAGAGAACCGCTTTACCTCATAGACACGTGCTGTCTTCTGAGGACCACCTCTCTGTTGATTAGTATTGGAAGGATCCTGGGGAACCCCACCTCCATAGCTGAACAGGGAGGAGTTCAGCTGGTAGGGCTGGTGGCTCATTATGTCAACAGGTTTTATGCCTGCTTTTTGCACCCTGGATTTATTTGTCCCAGACTTTGCTACCTCGGGTTTCTTTTGGGCCTTAAGAGGGCAGGAAGGAGAAAGTAGGGGGTTGTAGTTGATCGGAGGTGGAGCACGAATGTTAGGTGAGTACTTCCATGTAGCAGGAAGGGAAGGTGTAGGTGAGGGCTCCCTGGTTTGAGCTGGAGAGTAAGGTGCAGCAGCCACCGATGGAGAGCGCTCTACAACATATCGATCCATCCTGTTCTGTCTACGAGCAAAAAGCTGCCCCCCTTTTCCGGCGAGCTGCAGAACTTGAGGGGTCTGTGGTTTAGGAGCTACAGCAGGCGGCTTTGGTCCTCGCTGTGCCTGCATGAAGTTACAGGCCTCCGCTCCAAGTCTCAGCCAGTCCTCCTCAGGTCCTGACTCATGACCAGCCTCTCCACCTGGGACTACTACAGACTCAATACATGGGGTCCTTACACTGCGGTCATCCATGTTCTGCACCATGGACAGCAGGTCAGGGTTGGGAGAAACATCTTTGCTCTGTAAGGCACTGAACATTGGCTTCTTGTTGCTACGACGGCGAGCATCATGCAAGATGCCGGTGCGAGCAGCTGGTACTGAGATACGCTGTTCACGTGTGGCCATTGAGTCATTGGCAGGAGCCTGGGGGGGCGATGTAGGAGAGGCTGTTTCAGTCATGTTGTTGTACGAATGGACAGATGGAGATGGCTGAGTAACTGGAGGTGGAGGGAATGATTCTTTAGTTAAATCAGAAGATGGATTAGGAGAGGAATTGTATGGAGTTGAAGTAAAGGTGATGGGAGGTGGATAAGTAGGAGGAGGGGTGGGAAGGTAAGGAGGAGGGGAGAAGGCCTTTGCAGTTGATGGTGAGAGTGGAGTTGAAGAAGCATGGCTCGCTGGGAGAGAAGAAAATGTTGGAGGAGGCTGAGACAAAGGCAGTGAAAGAGCTGAAGGTGGAGAGTAAAAGGTGGGGACATTGTTACTGTTGTTATTTCGTGGAGCGATGTATAGAGAGGTGCTGGACACTGCTCTCCTTGCATCGGGCCCTGGTGATGGTTGTGTTGAAGGCTGGATAGTCATCATAGAAACTGCTGAAACAGGTTTGGGCGCCATAGTTAGCGGCGTCGGTTTGGGTTGGGGAGGCCGAAACATCACAGAAGTCACAGACCCACGAGATGGAGTTGAGCCAGGGACGAAGGGCCGTGCTGTGCGGTTCAGAATGCTGGGATTAGGATTAAAACCAGAGTTACTTATTGAGTCTGGGCTGGGGCTTGGACCAAAATTAGAATTGGCAGTAATAGTAGGATTATTATGGAGCCCATTTTGATTTTGCACAGGTGCTTCAGAGGGTGGACTCAGAATAACATTTGCCCGACTTACGGCACCTGAACCCCCATTAGATAGAGCCACCGCTGGAGGAGACATCTGGTTACTAATGGGCTGTTTTATGAAATTATCACTGGGTGAGTTCTCCAAACACCAGATGTTCTTTTCTGTGCTTTGATTTCCAGAATTCAAACGTCCTGGTGTTAGATAATCTGAGTGCTCCACCTCTGCGCTGTGATTGGTGGTTGGTGTTGTGGGAGTTGTTGGTGTTGTTGATGGGCAGGCAGAGCTTCTCCTGTCCAGCAGATCAAGATAACCCGAATCCCAGGTGGAGTCAAAAGAGGAAGACAATCCTTCTTCCTCAACCTCTGAGCCACTTAAAATAGAGCCTCCTCCTCCTTCCTCTTCTGTTTCCCCCCCTGTCTCTCCCTCTGTATCTCCTCTGTCTCTCTCGGCTTTCCCAAAGCAGGTCAGTGTGTACTTCTTAGCTCTCTGTCGGCGTTTCTTGAACATAAGCACCCCTTTCGAATTGGGGTTTGGAGCATCAGTCAGCAAAGATGCAATAGAGCGGCATTTAGTGCGGGCTTCTTTTACCTGTTTCTCTACCACACTCTCCCCACGCTGCAACTCTGCAAGACAGGAAGCCAAAAATTAGTGAAAAATCGAATTAAAAAAATTGAAAAAGAGGGAAAACAGAAAATTAGTTTTAATGTGAGTTCTGATTGATATAAAACAGATACAGGCAACAAATATGGAAGTATATTAGAACACATATAACCTTTGCTTTTAAAGTCTTCTAAAGGATTTAACAACGCTTAATATTAGACAAAGATAATTTTCTAATGTTAAAATACAACCATCTCCTTAATCATGAAATCTGAATAACCACTTTTTTTGTTAAGTTTTTTCAGACATTCCCAATTTCGATGATGTAAAGAATCATTAAATCCCTTGAATAAAACCTATCTGACAATGAGAAGCACACAACAAAACAAGCACATTATGCTTTTTTTTTTTTTTAATAAATCTAAGGTGAGATTAATACTGTGGTTGTTGATATCTCTCAGTCTTGAAAAGAGGATAAAAAGTCATTTCTAAGGCTTTTGGAGAGTTTTTGACCAAAGTGAAAACTATTATTAAAAACATATAAAAGATTAACAGGAATTAAACTTTTCCAATACTGACTGAAATAATTTCAAAAGGACACCCACCATTCATCCAGAAGATAAACAACAAAAACAAATAAATAGCAACATTTAAGGCACTTTTCTCAGTTAAAGCCAGTTTTCATGATTCAACAATATAAGATCAAAAATGGCCTTCATGGGTGAGATCCAGGTCTTAAACCAATGAAGAGACGCATACCTTTACTATTACAGAAAATATATATATTGGGATTCAGACCTATGAGCTGTAATGTGATGTTCTGATGATGTTAAAGATTTGCTATAATTGATAAAGCCATAACCTCTGTTCTCTACAGGACAATCCAGTATAGAAATCATGACAGAAACATAAACAAAAGAATATCTGAACAGTTTGTTACCATAAACGTAAGAGCTCCTGGGTTATTCAGACAAACACAACAGATAGTCTAACTCTCTCTGCCTCAAAGAAAATAAAGGTGTTAAAATGGTCCAGTCAACATTTGCACCTTAATTCAAATAGGTTGACATGGCTTAACCTTAAATCCACTATTATCATTGGAATATGGGGTCACTGAATTAGAAGGTATTCTGCAAAGAAGAGCGGGTCAAAAATGATGAATAATTTTGATGCTGCCAATAATTGCTATACCACTCATTGAGTTTAGGCAGCAATTATTTGTTCACAGTGCAGCTCAGATTAAAAAGCTTTTTCACATAAAACATATTACCACCATTCTTTTGAACACTTTGTATTTACTCAGTTTGTCCTTAAATATTAATATAGATTTATTTAATGTTCTACAACACTGACATAGACAATGAAATATTGATGAAAGACATTCCCACTTTACAGTGATTGAGTTCTCAGGCATGTACAAGTTGTTCATTTAATCACCCAGATACTCTTAATGCTTCTGATCCTAATCTTGATCAAGACACCCTTACATGGTTCAATATTTGTTCCTTGGTTAAAAACAATTTAAGAAAAATAATTTAGTTGAGTGGAAGATTATTATTTTTCAAAATTCATTATCAGTCTGTCCAAACTGCCTCATTCTAGTAAAAAAAAAAAATCTATATATATAAACGGAAACATGATCCTAACCTTTTAACATTCGTCCTCATTAGCAAAACAATCTCAGTTTTCCCAGATGTCATTTAAACAAAAGGAATATAATAAATATTAAAATCAATTCAATGTTTAGGCTGAATTTAAAGCACGTGTCTTTGGTATGAGCATTTCAGACTAAAACATGATAACAAAGTAACTCAAGCCTTTAGATCATTTACCTTAGTTATAACTGACAGTCAGCATACATGGCATATATGAGATCATCTTTTGAAATATTTAAACTAAATTAAGCTGAAAGAACCGATTTTGCCTCAAAAATAAAGGCAGTTAAAAGCATAAATCTTACCTGTGTAAACAGTGTGTGGAACCCTACGTCCAGCTTTGTCTGAACCTAAAGTAGATGTGAAGTCCCTCATCTCACCACCCAGACCCTCCCACACACTTCCTGACAGAGTTCAAATGAGCTCTGAGTGGAGACCCGTTAGGTCACCATCTCCCTGTTTGCCTCTGAGTGCTCAGCCCATGTAAAGACCTTTGTCTGTTTTCAGCAACCCAAACCAACACATGATGTCAGCCCTCTATTCCTGTCTGACAGGCATCAAACACCTGTCCACCCTAAACACAGACACAAAGAGTGGGACACCCCTCAGCGCAAATTTAGACAGCAGCATCACTGAGTGAGTGTGCATCGGTATAGATGTCTATCTGAGAGGCAGGGTGTAGCAGAAAGGTTGGCCATAACTCTTTGCTGATGGACGCAAAGACGCAAAACTGTGGAACAACAGAGCCAACAATCCCAGACCCAAAGCCGGGGTCTCAGTGTGTGTTTGTAACCCGAGAAAGGGCAGATCACTGGAGGCCACAGCCGCCGTTTGTCCTGTTGTAAAGCCCTTACCCTGCATTAAAGTTATTCAGGTCTTTTGGCTCTCGCACTTGATGACAGATCGTTCATTGCCGCAACATTCCTTCCTCCAAAATGGGAACTCAGTCACTGCATAGCTATTCAGTTTAATCAGCTGTCAGCTCAGCTGAAATTATGATTCAACCCAGGAACTTGGATATAACACTTAGGGTATAGGTTTTAAATTTTAGTTTTGGGAAAGCTTGGCGAAATTAAACAGCTGTACTGCTGCAGGAGATTTTACAGAAAGAGTTTTTTTGTGATCTGTGTGGAAACCAAAGACTGAAACGCTAACCCTATGCAAATACCATCCATCTATACATACCTTTTTATACGACACCTATGTGAAAGGCAATATTTACCTACGATTAGTCATAAGTTCATCCCAGGCCAAATGAAAGAGACTTATAACATGCAAACAGTCAAAATCTTCAGGGCCATTTAGAGAATATGCATTATTTTGGAGTATAACAGGAAGCTCAAGAACCCAGGGCAACCATCCCATGCACTGTACAACAGAACAGGGAAACATGGCAGACCCCCGGCTGCTGATTGAATTCCTGACATTTCTGATGTAAAGAAAATGCGCCAACATAATGTATCTAATATCCTGTTATTTTTGTATCATTGTATTTCTACCACTTTTATTATTGTATGTCTTTATTGGGAAAATTACAAAACATATTTATTTATCTTACCTTATTTATGTTACCATTGTTTTTTTTAATCACCATTTATTTTTCTTTTGTCATGGCATTAGAAGTAGTTTTACTGTTGTTATTGCAGTTTCTCTAAAGTGATTTTGGGTTTACTAATATCTGTGATGGTGGCTAAAAACGAATTATAATTCCTCAGTCACATTTAATTGTGTATTATTTTGAAAAACAAAAAATCTTTTAGGAGTACTTTGACTTCTTTTTACACTTTACTTTTACTTGAGTAAAAATATGGTAAGGTATCCCCTCTCTTACTTTGTGTAAAATTTCTAACTGTGCTATCTTTCGAGAGTATCTTCACTTAATGAAAACAAGCTTGATATGAACAAAAATACACCAGAGAGACACACTCCTGCTTCTTTTATATATAAAAGTTTATTGGTTTACTGTTATTTTCCAATATTCTTATATACTGCAACTATTGATTCTGTAAGTTTTATAACTCAAATAATGTATTTTCAAGTGTTCCTTCTACATAAAATTTTTATCAATTGTGTAATTATTATCAGTTATATCTTTTTTTTTTTTCTCAGTCTTTGAGCTTGGAAGCACCAGCACTTGCATGTAATCTTATATTCTGTGTAATATTACATACTTTTGTATATATTAAATACACTGTTATGATCATAAGTGGCAAGTAGATCGGTTTCTCAGTACAAATGTCCTTTTTACCAAATACATGTTTATTCTTACTAGAGCCATTTCATGGATGGCCACTTCTAATTTAAAAAATGTGATAAAAGTAGTGCTATGTTTACTAGAGTACAAGTTTTGGCTACTCCACCCGCCTCTGAATATTGGTAATATGTTTTATATACATATATATATATTTTTTTTTGCCTGTTGTATGTTATACAAAACAAGCAAAAACAACTAAATATTTCCAACTTGGACATTGCTATGTTGTAAAGATCGGTTGTCTTATTTTCTCCTTTCATATTTGCCCATTATCCATTATGTCTAAATCTTCTATACTTTCTCATAGTTAGAATTAAGTTAAGGCTTCTTTTAAATCTTGTCATCTATGGTTTATTTAAAACACACATTGATTGGAGTAGAAAAGATAAGAATAATCAAACCTTATCAACATTCTTGAAGGCATTAAAATACAGAAACAAATGTATATCTATTTATGCACATATAAACAGTCATTCTACACTCGGCTCACATATACTCAGGAAGTCCATAAATCAGGGCTGTATCTGGACTCTCAATCAGAAAACTTTAGCAGGTATAAATAAAACCACCAATGCAAATGCCTAGAATACTGCCTAGAGGGGAAGGGGGGTCTCTCTATGGCTATCGGGTATGTCTCACCTCAATGGTCCAACTTGAAGATGTAAATTGTTGAGTAGTAATAGGTTGTGGCCACTAAGGGGAGACCTAACAAAAGATTTAAGACCATCTGCTCTGCCTATCAGATGATGGGACTGAAGAACAGAGGGGTGCAAATATAATGGAGTAGCACCAGCCACATTAATGTTGCGTTCTAGAGGTGTTTCTCTTTTTTTATGTGCTTGTGTTCATATTTGGGTTATATGTTTGTTTTTTATTGCTTTCTTTTTAATTGATTTTGCCTGCTTTAGTCTAAGTTCCTGTGTTCATAATTGTTTGATGTTTTCGTCATGAATCCTGTTCTATCTCTATTTGCCATTTCCCCCTGTGTTTTCTCTAGGGTTTCTTTTGCCATCAGTTAGTTTGTAATTAAGTTGATTCAGCATTGAGCCCAGCTTAATTTGTCCATAGCATACACGTTTTATTTCCTATTCAAGTTCCTAATTAAATATTTTAAAACTGTATTCTTTTATTTCTATTTAGTTACCTTACCTGCCAATTGTGCCCATGCTACAAGCCTCAGATGCTCTTTAACGTTAGGTTTTTGTTTAAGTTGTTTGACTTGTAACCTTTTCTTTACTCTATCACAGTTACATTTTTTTTTATTACGATAAGTTGGAGCCAGATGAATGTTTTGGTCAGTAGAAAAGAGAATATGTTTTTATCAAGACATGGAAAAGGCAAATTGAATGTTCTACTTTTCCATATCTTCTGGCCATCCAGGTATGTATGTCAATGTAATTAGTACAAAAATACTTTACATAATACAAAAAAACAACTACTAAATAACAGGTTAATTTTGTGTAAAACAATTTGTCAGGACAGTACTCACTAGCTTGTCTTGCTTTGTCCATATATGTGGTGGAGAGATCATCATTTACAGGGGTGAGCTGTGGTCCCACCATAGGAACCAGATGACTGGAGCCCAACTTTAAGGCTTCTTTGGCCCGTTCTGGGGAAACCAAAGGTGGGCAGGCTGGTGTAGAGCAGCCCCCTGTCTCCTGGAAACCGCTGTCAACCTCTCCCTCTGCATCCGTTGGGCCCTGATCAGGGGTTGGGGAGTGACCCTTGGTGTGAGCAGAGGGGGGCAGTAAGATACACTCTCTCCGAGGAACACTGCTGAGACCTTGGACATAACATTGCGTGGTAGCTCCTGTGTCCGTCGCACTTTCATACCTTGTATCAAACAAAGCACACCACAGATCCATTTTTACAGATAACTTTACATCACAAAATCTCATGTAGGCTCAGTTGATACTAAAAGCTTGCTTTCAAGACTTTAGGTATCCACCACTTACCCACTCATCTCTGATGTCTCCTCTTCTTGGTTATCATAACGCAAAGGTGAGCGAGCATGAGGGGATGCTCGCCGTTGGCGTCGAGGGTGCATCTGTGAATTTGTGTCTGCATCGCTGTCTGTTTCACCGTAGTAAGCCTCACTGTCTGGAGGGGATATAACACCCCTGGATAACTCAGTAGGAGAGAGAAACAAGGAACTGTTGTTCAGAAGGGTCGCAGAAGGAGACAAAACCCTCATGGATGATACAGGAGAGGTAGAACGGGCAACACAAGAGGAAGAAGGAAATCCAGAGACGCTCCTGGGGTAAAAGTAAATGAGCTGTGAAAAGGCCAAGCATGATACCAATGTTTCTTGTTATTTACTAAAGCTACACATAAATGTCTCCATTGTCTTACCTTCTAATTTTTAGGCTTAGAGTGGAAGTCTCTTTATCAACTAGGCTCATAGCCTCAGCATGTGTGAGGTCTGCACACATCTGGTCACCAATGGCAATCAATTCATCATGCTCCTGCAGTCCAGCTCGGCATGCTTTGCTGCGTTTGCGGACCTAAGGAAAGAAAAGCGGTTATTTTATTCCCTGAAGCTTGTTGTAGGTGTTTCGATTGGTCTTCTTTAGACAGACGACCTTATAAAAGGTCATGATTGATGTATGTTGTAGCACGCAACTTAGGACCTGAAATGCATCAGCTGGGACCAGTTGATGAGAATTTTTTTTTAACAGTTTTCAACATCTCAAGATGTAGAGTTTCTTATTTAGGTCAAGTGATTTAAGGGCCAGTTAGTAAACTATCTATTTGTTGTAAGATAATGTGTGCCCACAAAACAAATCCCTTTTCACATTTTGCAAGAATTATAAAGAAATGTAAACCCAAAATGACTTAAGATAAACAGAAATAAGCTCTGTTGGTCAAACAGCTTTAAAATTAAACAAATACCAACCCTGTATATGTTCATAGAATTTGCTCAGTCTCCATTTAGCATTTTGAACTGGAGGAACCTAAAAATTTAACAAATCGCATTTTGTTTCATCCTGATCACTGCAAATCAGTGAGATAAAAAAAAAATATCTACACTCTACTAACAATTTATCTTGATGCAGTCATCATAAATCAATTTGAACTAACCAAGGCCTAGAAACATTGCGGACCTCCAGATGGATGCCCTTTTATCTCTTTCTTCCTCCTTGGGTTGATAGAGAGATTCCATTATTTCTTCAGAGCATCCATCCTAGCATGCTGGCTTTTACACATGGACCCCGGCCGGGCACAACCCGAAGAGGCAACATGGGTCCCTCTTCCAACTAACCTGACGGAGGGCCCAAAGGGGCTGGGTGCAATGAGTTATGGGTGGCAGTCAAGGGCAAAGACCGGCTAGAAATAATCGGTCTTACCTCAACGCATGGCTCTGGCTCTGAAACCAGTCTCCTTAAGAGGGGCTGGACACCTTCCACTCTGGAGTTGCCCCCAATAAGCTGCGCTGAGCAGGAGTGGGCATACTTGTCACCCCTCATCTTGGGGCCTGTATGATGGTGTATACCCCGTTGAATGAGAGGGTGGCCAGTCAGTCTACGTTCCTGCACTATTCTGTGGTTATGAGCTTTGGATCATGACCTTAAGAATGATATCTCAGATAAAAGCATCTGAAAGTAGTTGTCTCCATATGGTGTCGGGGCTCTCCCTTAGAAACATGGTGAGAAGTCCGACATCCGGTGGGGAATCAGAGTAGATCCGCTGCTTCTCCACATCGAGAAGAGCCAGTTGAGGTGGATTGGGCATCTAGTTAGGATGGGTCCTAGACGTCTCAATTGTGAGGTGAGCCTGGTACTTTACACCGGGAAGGGACCCAGAGGAAGACACAGGACACAGTGGAGGGGCCGTGTTTCTAGACTGGCCTCTGAATGCCTTGGGATTCCCCTGGAGGAGGTGTCTCAAGTGGCTGGGGAAAGAGAAGTCTGGGCCTGTCTACTAACGCTAGAACCCCTGTTGCCCGACCTTATTGCATAGGTGGAATGAGATGGATGGATGGATGGATACTAACAATTATATTTGGATGTGTGCACATAATACCACTGTGTGGTTTTGACATAAATTATCTTAATTGTGTTTTTTTCTTTTTTGAGTTATCTGGTTTGGAGAGTTGGCTGCTTCCTGTTTGGAAAGGGGGAGTGGCCAATGCTGAAGCACTCTGCAAGCACAAGGGTAGGTCAGCAGGGACCAACCATTAGCTTGTCATTGAGGGTTTTATGAGTTCTGGGAGACTTTTTGGACTTTAGTTAGTATTGATGTTTAGTTCTGTTATCCATTTGGTCTTTATGGGAAAGTCTTGGTATATTTTTGCCAAATCCTTATTTAAGTAACACTTGTGTGTCTTTGTGTAAGTTGGGTTTTAATGTAAACTGCATGTTTTTTGTTTTTTTTATTGACCACTTTTATGGGCCATATTTCTCATAAATTGAACTTTGTAATTAGTTCTACTTGTTTTGGGAGGAATAAGACAATCCTCTATGTGTTCTCTGCTTGGTCCTTCACAACCTCGTAATCCTAAGTAATTGATTTTATAGTCTTATGCTTTTAGGTTCGATTTAGATATGATGTAGATAAAGATATGAAGAACAAGTTAGAAAATGATTAAATCTTTTGGTCATTTTTATCAGTTTGTCTGAGAATAAGCTGCCTCCTGGGGACGATGATGTCATCAAACCCTCAGGAAGTATGTTTTTATAGTTTGAGTGGGGTTATAGTGGGTATAGATGAGAGGGTGAGCATTTCTGTCACACTTGGTGCTAAAAGTAGAAGATAAGGTCGTCCCATCTGTTCCCTTACACTCACACACTTATCGCTGCTAAAAAAAAAAAAAAAAAAATGTTAACTGTGCAAGGAGCCACTTGGATTATTTTCCATTTTAGTTTAACACAACCAGCATAAGGTTATCTTTCTTTTTGTTCACAGAAAGAATGTATGAGCATGGATACACAAAGTACATCATAAAAGGGGAGATTCTGAACAGCTGTGTGAAGCAAGTGGGCATGTCTGTCACTCACCAAGTGTCCAACGGATATTCCTAAAATAAAAACGAACTTAAAAGAGCTAAAGCATTCCTAGACAGAGAGAGAGAACAGGGGGGTTCAACTGCATTGCACAACATTTAAAAGTGGAAGATAAAAAAATCCTGCCAAAATTAAGTCTAAAAAAATTGTGTTGAGTGGATGAATTTGTGAGTTAAAGTCTTTATCTGTGTGTGCGAGAACAAGAGGTCCAGCTTTTTCCGTCCCCTGCTTCCAGCTGCTCTCAAATGAGCTATTCTGATCCCCCAGTTTGAGCTCAGCTCTTAGCCGAGCTTATCTTAGGTATGCTCAAGCACACATAATACACACAACAGGAGGAAACACACAAACTCCAAATTAAAGTGACTTTTATCAGCTTGAAAATACCCATAGTGATTAATTTTGTGTTACTATTCTGCCTGAAATGTAAGAGGTTGGGAGGTCTGAAGCAATTGGTGGGCTTTTATCGTTAGTGTCAGAGAGGTCACATTCCTATTCACAGAGACAGCTTTTCCCATTACATCAATAGTCTCCAACATGCACAAGCACCACAAGTGGAAATTTAGGATGCCACCAGTGGTAATCTGTGGCAATTTTTTTGCTATAATTTGCATTATTTACCTAATTGACGACGAGGAATAAGTCCTGGGGTGTACTGAGGTTGGGTTTCTATGGTAAGTCTATGGTTTTAGTTTAGCTATACTACCTATATCTAACTGAACTTCTTTGTGTTTGATTTTTAGTGTAGTATTTTAAATATTGAACCTATTAAGTGCCTGTTTTAGGTCAGTTTTAATTGCCACAGTGGGTTCTATGTGTTAAATTCCACAAAAAGAGAGATTTTTTTCAGAAAGCTTTTTGGGGGTTTTTCTCGAATTCTGACACTTACATGCACAAAAATGTCTCTAGGCAATACGGGATGCTGACATCATGGCGGCACTAATATGGATGTATTAGAGCAACACGTCAAGCCCCAATCCAACCAATCAGGATGGAGATATTCTGAGTTCACAATATGCCAGCCTTTGTGTGAAAAATATACCAACCCAACAACAAAAGTGAAAATTAGCTGAGCTGTCTGAAGCTAATTATAACAGAGCATCTTTTCTCACAGTTCCACAATTCCTGTCCCAATATGGGGTCAAAAAATGGGGGGTCAAAAAATGTATAAAAATATGATTACAGTTTAGAAATACAATCAGGGACAAAAAAAAACATTTTATATTTGCAAATTATCTTGTGATCCAATAACTCTAAAAGTGAAAGACATGGCTTGACCTTTGTATCTTTGGAGCAAAAAGGAATAAACTTCCAAGCCTAACAAAAACCACTCTCGCTGTGAAGTACAAGACTTGCAGTGTCATGACTGTGGGACTCCCAGATACGAACTTAGAAAATGGTTGTGGCCAGCGAATCAAATGTTGTGATCATTCAAAGTAGCCATCCCAAATGATGGAAACCTCAGGAAAAAAGAACACCAAAAAAATAACTGTGCTCCCTTGTCATATGAGTTGTAGGGGCAGTAACCCCTACACTGGAGAAGTGGCACCAAAACAAAGAGAAACATAAAACTTCTCAGTCCAGAAGAGTGAAGTCTGCTGAGAACTCTTAAAAACCCTGAAGCACCCTGGCCTCTAAACTGTAATGATTTAAAATCCACACAAAAAAAAACAACTCAGCAGATACAAACTGCCTGCAATATATTCTTCAAATAATTACATCTAGATCTTTCTTGTTGACCATACCTTTGCTACCTGTAGGGACTTTTGCTGTTCTGCTCCTCCTTGCAGCCTGAACCCCCATGGAGCTCCTCCTGAGAGGGAGACCACGATCTCCTCCATCACCATCTCTACCCCCCAGACCACTGACCAGGTGAATATGAATGGATCTGGAGTCTGTGCTCTTCCTCTTCTGTTCCTCACACTCTGAAGGTATCAAACACTGTCTCTGATCGCTCTCCAGATCACCCCACCCTTTCATTGCTAATACTGGAATGCTGTTGAGGGGGGTCTTCGGGGTGTGCGTCTGTGTGAGTCGGGGATCGTCATCAGCTCGTGTATTCGACACTTGCCATGTCAGTCTCAAGCACCACGTACAGGAGGGGATGCTTGCTGATATGCACTCCACAAATAGCAACCAGCCCTGACCTCTTCAACACAGCTAGCACTGGTGCAAAATTCTTCTCATTTTTCCCACAAGTTCTTTGTCTTTACAAGAATAAAAACAGACAAACATATTTTTTATTTTTTATTTCGAATACACAGTGGTATGAATAGATATTCAGACCCCTTAAATCTGTTTATTTTTTATCCCAGTACCACCAATACCTTAAAGTGTTTTATTAGGATTTGATGTGATTGGACGACAATGCTCATAATGATCGTAACAAATCCAAAGTTTTTACCTTAAAAGTGTAGTATGTATTTGTTTTCAGCATATATTTAACCACTGAAAACCTACCAAGACATGAACATCCAATAAGGGTCAGTCAACTTTAACAGATCAAAATGTTATCTTTCTTTAATTATTTATCTTGATTGCACTATTTTTCTCAGCTCAACTCACGTTCATCCCTGTTGCAACCAGACTCTATAATGCGACACTGCAATGGCAATAACTTGTGCAATGTATAATGTGCAATTTAGCATTTGATACCCTGTGCAATAACTGTTTCTCTATATTTGACAACCAATGCAATAATTATATATATAAATATAAATATACATCCATATAAATACCCGGGGAAATACTCTGTGCAATAACCCTGTAAAATGATCCTACCATTAAAAAAAAAAAAAAGCTGTCATATGTGGACTGTATTTATACCATGCACCTTTTTCTTCCTTTGGCACATTCTTCTTCTTTGACCATTTGGGCTAACATAACAAGTACATCTCTCCACAGTGAGATCATTAACGTCCATCAATCAACCAATCACATTTATTTTGTTTCCAAATAATACCTTTCCTTGTAGAATTTACCAAAAAAAAAAAACGATATAGAATTTGTAAACAGTTATTTTGCCCTCTGTTCCTGTAAGGCCTCTAGTTAATACCTGTGATTGTGAGCTTGTTTTGTTTCCTTTATTGCACAGTATTCGCACAAGCAAAACACCTGCTAAACAAGGCTAGATGTTTGTCTTATCTTGCTGACACCTCAGAAGCTATATCCCAGTTTTAGATGTTTTGGTAAGGAGCTAGACTCCTATACTCTCAAGGTCATTTCAACAGTCCAGTCCTGTTTGTGGAAACTTTGTCTGTGAGAATCCCTCCCTTTGCTTCTTGAGTGGTTAGTTAAATCAATAGTGAACAGGCAGAACATTGACAAAGGTTGTATTTGTTCTCCTTGCAAGGATTTAATAAATACTGCTTGAATGAACACCAATCTCAAATTCTTTTTAGACTTTATTTTCCAAAAAAAGTTATTTAAAGATTTGTGATGGCAATCATGGGCAGACAGAGGGCAAAAGGGGCCAGTGTCCCTGGAAAACTGGTCCTTGCACCTGTTATGGCCCCTGTACCGAGAAAAAAAAATCTAAATATAAGTAGGTCATTTTTTTCTGTATTTAAGTGCATTTTTCCTTAATTTAAAGAGTTAAGACAATTTTCTTATGCGATGAAACCACTTACTTTTAAAATATAGAAATTTTACTCCATTATCTTATTTCAAGAGAATATCTAAATACCTTATTTTAAGAGCAAAAATACAAATTCTTTGGCAGATCACCATATTTACCTAGCTAACTTAAATGTAAATGTGCTTATTTTAAGAATAATTTTACTTTTTTATCAGTTTGTGCCTTCTTATACTAAATCAGTGTCTTAAGAGATGACAAAAGAGAATTTGAGTAATTCGTCTTTTTTCTCGTAATGTTACGACTTTATTCTCATAATTTTATGACCTTATTCTTGTAATATTACAACTTTTTTCTTGTAATGTTATGACTTTATTGTCATAATTTTACATTATTCTTGTAATATTACAACTTTTTTCTCGTAATGTTACGACTTTATTCTCGTAATATTACAACTTTTCTCTCATAATGTTCAGACTTTATTCTCGTAATTTTATGACTTTATTCTCGTAATATTACAACTTTTTTCTCATTATGTTACGACTTTATTCTCATAATTTTACGACTTTTTTCTCGTAATATTACAACTTTATTTTCATAATTTTACGACTTTATTCTCGTAATATTGCAACTTTTTTCTCGTTATGTTACGATTTTATTCTCATAATTTTATGACTTTATTCTCGTAATGTTATGACTTTATTCTCATAATTTTACATTATTCTCGTAATATTGCAACTTTTTTCTCGTAATGTTACGACTTTATTCTCATAATTTTACGTCTTTATTCTCGTAATGTTACGACTTTATTCTCATAATTTTATGACTTTATGCTCGAAATCATAAAAAAAAAAAAAAAAAAGAAATCTGTAGCCTGGCCCTAATACTCCGTCGTATTGTGGCACCTTTAGTGACCTAAAACATTTTTTTTTTATTATTCTTTTGTTTTATGCCCCCATGTGTTTCCACAGATGCCAAAGTCCCTGGGACCTTTGGATTAGAAGGAGGTCAAGGTCTTTTATGGCTCAATCCAAATGCAAGCCACACTTTTCAGAATTCCCCTATCAATAAAATTGTCATGCATTTGGGTCACTTTAAATTATTGATACAATGAAAAATATCAATGACCTTCAAGAGTTATTAGTACTTTCGGAATAGGTTTTGTCTCCCGGGAATGCGTCCGTTTAGCAGCGGGGAAGGGGAACGTAGAGGAAGGACGTTTTTCCCGGATGTGGACGTGGCAAAGCGCTGCAGCAGTTCCGCCGAACGTCCGCTTCTGCTACCGAGAAGGGATTAGTGAGCAACACCCCGGGACTGATCGGCTTCTAGTTCTGTCGGCCTCAGGGCTTCCCCGTTCGTCACAACCAACGGATTGCCTTACTATTTACACCTCTGCCGAGGTAGGTTACGATCCGGTGCGACTTCATGTCTGACATCCTGTCCCGGCTTTAACAGGAGGAGCTCAGATTTCGCTACCTCTACCGTGGCTAACTAATGCTAACTGCTGCTAAAAGACACGGCTAGCGGATTTCTGTACACTAACTTGCGTTTATTAGCTTCACTTTCGCCTGGCTTATTCTATCACTGGGTTAGCATTAGCTATCTACAACCGGCTGTTAATGACTCCCAGCTGATTCAGGAACCTTTGCTGTCATCATGATCCAGCTAGCCTGTTGCTAACATTAGCCTAACGAATTTGCACTCACCTTTTAAGAGCTATACATCGTTTATTTATAAATGTCTCACATTTCTTTGCTCTCAAAACTCCCATGTGTTAGCAATACAGTGATTTTTCCATATTCTGTTGAAGGTTTTCAGTAACATTTCCCTATGCTACAGCTACTAGCTACTAATCGGCGAATGTTGATGAGGTGCAGCTACATTAGCTAGCTTGTTGTCGGTTTATCTGCGTTTCAGGACCTTTAAACTTTAAACTAGTTTTAATTGCTTCTCTCTTTAGAACTTAAAGGTTTTCTTTTTTGTATTTGAACCCATTTTATTGGTTGTATGGCTGAAGTGGAGGACATTGTTTATTTTTAAGAGGCCTGGGTTACTAAAAAGCGATTGTATTTCTCATTGTGAGCCTTTCTCCGTTGAATTATTAAAAAGCTCCGCTGTTTGTTAGATGACACTCGTGTTTATCGCATAAGTTAGAAACTTGAGCGCGTGATAAATAGATCTGATCACGAAGCTGTCAGTGTTGTTGAGCAGTAAGAGAAGATCATGCGTTTAAACACAAGTTTTAGTTGAAAAAGTACTGTATGTCTGTAGTTTTAGTCCTGCTTTGAATGTTACAGCCTCTGATGTCTAAAAAAAAGCAGGTTAAATGGGTTATCTATAAACCTAAAAGCACTGATTGGTTTGATTCAGTTTTATTTTACTTGTAAGTATGTTCTTGGAACAGCTGCATGTCAACACATCAGATCAGTTAATCAGCAAATGCATTTATAAAACATGTTGGCTAAGAATCACTAGATGGACTCCTTTCATTGTAGCCATATGTGACTGGCGATCAGGCCAAAGGTCAAACATTTAACCTAGAATATGTTCTACCTTTTTAAAAAGAAAGTGAAATGTCTGTTATGCAGCTTAACTTTTTTTTTTAATGAAAACAATTTGATCAAATTCTGATATTGAGTAAAACAGTTTCCCATTCTCGACAGAAACCTGAGCTTTGCTGACGGCCCTTTCTGTAGCTGATAAATTGAACTGTTGGGCTACAGATAACGGAAATCATAGACATTATAACTAAAAATATGCAAATTTTCCTCCTTTTGGGACCTTCTTTTGACTATTGAGCCGATGTGACAGGTGAATTTCTCCTCTGTGTGATCAATAAAGTCTTCCTTATCTTAAAAGCATAATTTAACAGATTGATTCGGAAAAAAATACTGAGCTTTAGGTTTAAAAAAAAAGTTCTGTATGTTACAGTCATGTTTTATTTCTCAAACTTAAACCCATCGAGAGAAATAAAAATAAAAAGGCCTTCTTTGTTGTGCGGTTGAATTGCATTAGCCTACGGGTGAAAATGTCAAGTTTCTGTGTTTGTGAGTTAAAAAAAAAAGGTTTCAAACTCTGATAATGTTTGATGGTGTGTTTTATTTCTCTCACTGAAGAATTAGGGATGAACTAAGGATGAATGTAAACCAGCACACTCCAATGGCCTCTCCTTACGGCCAGCCCCAGCCTGGCTATGGTCAACCTAGCTACGCTCCCCAGGATGGGGGGTATCCTGGCCCTTACTCACCTTACAACGGCCCTGCTTCAGCCCATCAGCCCGGTGTTCCACCACAAGGTAAACAGAAGATCCCAGATCTGAATTTATGCAAATACTTTTCTTAGAAGACCAAACATTGCATTATGTAAGGAAGCCTCAAGTGACTTGCATAACTCTGGGATTCTGCCTGCTTTACACCGAAACGTTGAAAATCTCAGCACCTGTGCAAACTAGTCTCTATCTGATCTTCCCTTTCATTACTTCATTTACCTTCATCTGGCTCTATATCTCTGTATTTGCTCCTTTTCCCTATTTTCTTCTATTTCAGGTTATTCTCCTTTCACAAGCTTTCCCTCTAAGGCTGTGGCAGCCAACCCAGTCTCTGACCTCTCCTCTCCTCTTGACTTAGGTAACTGCCTCTGTTCACCCCTTATTTCTTGCCCTCTTCATGCATCTCACCATCATCTAATCACTGCTGTATCTAAAATCCTCTTGGTGTCATTTTATATTTCTCAGTTTCTATTTTGCTTAATTTGAAATCTATTACATTTCAAATAGTGCTGAATTTAATTTCCCTTTGGGATCAATAAAGAATTTTGAATGAAATGATTTAGCATCAGTGCTTATTTTCAAACATGCTTTTTTTCCCCTTGTCTTGTTAATCAATTTGAAAGATTCGGCCTTAGTGGTGACTTTCATGTTACATCTCATAAATGTTAAATGTCTTGCAGTTATTTTTAGTCTTTGTCCATTCTAATTTAGCCTAAAATGTATTTTTTGACTCAGTATTAAAATGAAGCCTGAGCTTCTGACCTCAATTTGAAAACTTAGAATCCTATCTATTGAGTTTGAGGCTGTATTTAGCGATAACTCATAATCCTATTTTCTTTTATCAATAACTTAGATCGGTGTCAGAATAATTCAAGGCTTTCTTTTCACCTAAAACTGGCATCACCAGCATGTTTTATTGGGTTTTCTTTAAACTGGAGGACACAAATTAATACATTATTTGAGATGGAAAGAAAAGAAGCATGGCGCATGGTTTTCAATAAACGTATCTTTTTCAAATCTGAAAAGTGTGGCATGCATTTATGTGTTACTAATGTGCTTAATGGTGTTTATATCCATCGTGATTTAAAAAAAAAAATTTGTTTCTGTTTGTTGCATGATCATTTATACGAACTGTTTGTTAAAGCTTTGTGGTAGTCGCATGTTTTAAATGGTCCTCTATGTTTAGGATTCTTGCTTTTGTCATGATTTTACTTTTAGCTGATATGGTACTGGAAATTTAAATCAGCCAGAATGGCTAAATTTTACATTTACTGCATTTCTATAGTTATATATGCATTGTCCCATTAAAAAAAAAAAAAAAAAAAGGTAAATACATCATTTGTAGACTTCAGGCTGAATATTTTTGCACATTTTTCTTTGTAAAATACTTTAATGTCAGACAGATTGGATGAAGATCATCTAAAGACAAACTTTTAGATCTTTCCAATGATTTTTAATTGTATTCATGTCCATTTTATGGTAGCGTTTTTTTCTTTGTCCTCAGAAGTTGATGTTTCCAACTTTCATGCATTAAATTTTAACTGAAGAGCCCCTGAAAGTCGGAATTATGAGTCACAAAGTCCTATTTTTAACCCTTTTTGAAAGAGCTTTGTTTACTTATGTAGCTTTATTAATTTATGTCAGTCTTTCAAAGGCTAAAGCAAATGGGATGATATGTTTCTGCGTCAGAATATGACGTACAACTGTGTTTTTGTCATTGCTGTGGTTTTAACAGTGGCCGCAGTGTCCATGGAGAATACCAAGGTCCACTGGAATGCATTTAGCACAGAGATTAATACTTGTTAGATTGAAGTTCGGAGGATAAAGGAGTGGGCAAGAGAACTCTACTTAACTGGCTCCTTGGGGTACATGAGTGTGCTATTACAAATGGACATTTTAAAGGGGATTTAAGGAGGATTTTTTTCTTTGTTTTTCACATAGCATCCAGGGAAGTTTGTCTGTTCAATTAGTTCTTGATTTTGATTCCGATTCAGATTCAGTTTGGTCTACTCCTAAACTTGATTGCATAAAAAAAAAAAAGTCTATTAAATGAGTGTTTAGTTATTTTTTTTATATTGAAATTGTATTTTAACATTTTACAGCAAGTAAATAAAGTAATGGTAGTTGATTGTTAATCTAAGTATAGTTGAAAATGTGTTTGTTATATAAATTAAACTTTAGGATTTAATAGAATCAATTCAGAATTAGAAAAACTTTTTTAGTTTTTTTTAACAAAGCATTAGTTTTAATACCACAAAATGGAGTACTTTTTCTTTGTACAGTTATCAGAATCGTTTATGATGATTGGTTATTTTCTGCAGGTCCAACAAGGCTTCCTCCCACCTCTGCACCCCCTCCTGCTTCAGCTCCACAGCCCTATAACCAGTACACCCACAGTCAAGGGGACATGCAAAATGGACCCCCACCCATGACACAGGCACCGCCCAGGTAAAAGCTGCTGTTAATCATCCTAGGATAATTATTTTGCAGGTTGTTTGCTTTACTGCATCATCTATATATTAAAAATATGTCGCAGTGAAATTCGAATTGAAAACATATTCAGCAATATAAAACAGACCTAGCAGATACAACTGAAAATTCCCAGGTAAAAGTTGAAGGTAATCCAGGGGTTTTCATTTTTTCTGTGTAAGCTAAAGAAGTCTATAATGTTTGGATGTGGTCGTCCGGACCAAAGCGGAGTCGGAAGAGTAATAATCTTTGGCTGCGTCTCAGATTAACGTGTTAAATCAGGGTTTTGTAGATTATATTACAAGAACAAAGACTTGAAGTGAACTAATGACAAAGAATCAGAGTGAGCGCTTTTGGTATGTTTCCTCTGTGATGTGACTGTTAGAGTTTGGAAAATCGATGCTTTGCTCATGACGTTCCTTTGAGTGGCTTACATTCAAAGATGGCAATTCTCCATGAGGAATAATTGTGCTTTTTTGGGGGTTAGAGCGGTGTGATGTGCACTGTCCCGCTTCCAGCAGTCGTCTTCACTTATGGATGACGAGCTGTAATTCAAAGGCTTCATGGAAGTACTTAGGCTTAGACAAGAGGCTTGTCTCCGCCCAACCTGTTAAAACACATTTTTGTTCGCGCGAGGAGAAAATCCGTCTGTGTGTAGAGATGCTTTCGTGAGCACACCCGTCCTTGAGCGGGGCCGCTGGATAGAAAATCGTGCGCATGGTGAAATCCCAAGCGTTTCTTGGAGGAGCTGGTGTGCGGAGATTGATTTTTCTTCTCCTCGAAGCATCAGTTTCTCACGTGTGCTTTTTTTTTTTTATGCGGTGATGATAAACCATGCTCAGAAGTAGTTTAGCATACATGCGAGTATGTTTATTTTGTTTGCCAGTGTTTTGAAGTAAATGTGACGCCATAAAATGTTGACTTATTTTAAAGCAGAATATTAATATCCAGTATAGGAAATCTGATATAAAGTTTGTGATTTTTTTTTTTCTCACAATGTTACACTTTTACATGGAGCTTGTTTCTTTTTAACACATTTTGACACTTAGAGTGTCTAAGGCTGCAGGTACTTAGCCGATATAGGGCAGTTTTATTCTTTTGTTTAATTGATATTGACTGTGGAGTGGTGCTACACTGAGTGTCTGAGCTTGAGGAAAAAGCATCCCAGCAGTTGTGCAAAGGAAGATTTCCCCATTGATTTTATATCCTCATCATCATTCACTGCACCTCATTTGCATTAAGCGAGACATGGAATTAGGGATGTTTTACTTTGTCGTTCAGTCTCCTGGTTTCAAATGAAACATGAATTAAGTTGTCCTTTAAATTACTCTTAATGGCAGCTCCAGATTAAAGTTATTTTCATTCTATCAAGAAAATGTAGACAATGAGGTGGATACCTGTTAAAAAGTAATTTAAGAGATAGAAAACGATTAAAAGGGGCTCTGTTCTGCCTGTGGAAGGTGTGATATGAATCCAGGGTGGAACAGTTTTCTTAAGGAAACCTACCTTAGATTAGCAGTGGTGCAAAGAAATGTTCAATCACAGGACTGTTCACCTGTCCCTATAAAATAAGTGCTGCACACAGATGACTGCTTGTGTCTTTAAATAACGTTAAGCTACATTTTCAAATGTTGCTGCACTAATAGATTGCTGCACATACACACACTTGCCAATGTTTCTTTGTTGGTATTCTGCAGCTTTTTCTTCCGGTTATCAAAATTAGTTATCAAAAATCAAGAATTTGAGCTATTCTGGGAGAATTGAAAGGTAAGAGCTGGTTCCAGTGGATTCTCGGGGGCCAACTCTAACCCTACCTACATGACTTTTTGCCCTGAAGGGGTGTTGATGAACAATCCTTTCTGAAAATTTGTTTGTCTTCATATTGTGCCAATAATAACTATATTCTCCTGTGGGAAATGCAGCTTCTGGCAGCAAGTTGATTTGATCCTGCATCACTAATGTTGCCATCAGCTTTCCACTCATAGCTTCTATGCATTGCCAGGCCTGCTGCAGCCCAGCCGTACACCCAGGGACATGTGAACATGAGCGGGTCGCTGCCTTCCTATCCACAACACTACGGGCCTCCGCCTTCAATGCAGCAGGTCACCAATCAGATGACTGGAATGCAGATCACGCCTGGACCACCAACCTCTGCAGGGCCAGGATATGGTACATATAACAGATTTCATTTGGGTGTTAAATGTTTCTGTGGTGTGAAAAGAGATTGAGTAGTACTACTACTAGTCCCTCCAGGATTTCTTCTTTGCCATAAACAGCAGCCATAAAATTTACTTTTATGGCTGCTGTTTATCCTCTTCCAAAATATGCACATTTAGCTTTTTGTTTGTTTCTGCTGTAGCACAAAAAAATAACAGCAAGCATTTATTGTAAAATTCCCAGAAGAAGCCACAGGATGTGGACACTGTTGACCTCTAGGGTTTCCATAAAATAAGTCAAAGCAATAAAAACGGTATCAAATTTTTTGCAAATCCAGAATTTCGTATTTTGTATTCAAGGGCACAATTACAAACACTGTCTATAAATGCTATTGAACATTTAAACAATTAACTATTTAATTGTTTTAGAAACAAATCAATCTCAAAGTGCTTAAGTTCTTGTCCTTTGTATTGTTACACTACTAGTTAAAATATGGTATTTTTGTTCTTCTGTGTATAATAAAAGAAGAAAAATAAATAACCAACGCTGGTATTTGAGAATGGAACGCCTTGTTTACGTTTAGTATCTGTTGACTAAAGGCTGGTTTATGCTCAGAAACCAGGGCGTCTGCGTGTGTCGCAGTAAATGCAAATGTGCCTCCACCCCTGCAGCAGACACTCTGCTGCACATCTCCAAATTTATAGGTGACCGGCGACAGGAGGCCTCTGATTGGTCACATCTACATCCGCTCTACACTATGCGTATTTCCTGTTTGGTACCTTACTGGCTTGTTTTGTTTGTATGGCCGCCGTTGTTGGAAACGACTCATGAGACCAGCTAGAAGAGTGAGGTGGAACTTTGGGACCCTTTTTGCACCTGGATTCCCGCTTTTTTTTCGCCCACCGTTATCACACAAACTGGCTCCCACTTCCTTAGGGCTTCGGCTGTGTCTAGACCCACAGCTAGTTCGTGATTGTGCCTCTTGCGTTTCAATATTGAAAAAACAAAGGTGGTAATCCTTCTTTTCCACAACAAGCTACTTATAAAAAACAGATCTTTTATGATGACAAATAAAATTCCTCTTTAAGTCTAAGATTCTTCAAGAGAATTATCACAGATTGACTAAAACCCTTTTCTAATATCTTATAGCATCCTCTTAGTTTTCATGGCAGCGGCCGTTCAGGAATGCTGTCCTCGCTAAAGAAAGAAGCTATTTTGTCTGAAAGGTCAAGTGTTGATGGGGTTTTTTTTCACAGTGAGAAACTTGGCAGGCAGCAGGTTAAAATGAAGAGCAAAGGTTTGACTGATTGGTCAGATCTGGGGAAGAGATGGAGCAGCTGATCGGGAAAGAAAGGCAGAAACTAAATGATTAGTTAAATCTGCATAAAGTGTGATTCACGAGAACTGCTGCTGTTTGCTGTTAAATTTAGACCCAAGTTTTTAGTCAAGTTTTAACCACCTGGAGGGACAGTAGAATATCCCATGATGCATTTCTGTTAACCTGTGTGTCTCTCTTCCCATCAGTTCCTCCTCACAGCTCCCAGCCTCCTCTCAGTACTGCCTACTCAGCTGCAGCGCAGCCATCCTACACCCAGGCTCCCCCTCCTGCATCATCCGCTCCCACCCAGCCTCCACCTGCGAGTGGTCCTGCAGCTTCTCAGCAGTACTACGGAGGCCCTCCACCTTCTTCTCAACAACCATTCAACTCTTCCCTCCCCCCCACCTCCCAGCAGCAGTTCACCTCTTCTGTTCCTCCGCCGCCCTCCCAGCAGTCTTTTCCCCCCTCCTCATTTTCGGGTCCCGCTCCTCCTCCCACGCGCCCTCAGGGTCCGCCGATGTCTCAGTCCCAGCCCCAGATGCCCTTTCCTTCTCAGCCTCCTTTCTCAGCTCCTCCACCTGTTAGCCAACCTGGCTTCGCCGGTGGCCCACCTCCACCCGTCCAAGGATCTTTCCCACCTCAGCCTACACAACCTTCCTCTCAGCCAGGGTCTTTTCCTCCTCCTGGGCCCCCTCCCACCTCAGCCACCTCAGGTCAGTACACAACCTCCATGGCCCAGCAGCCGCCTCCTCCTACCCAGCCATCCCCCTATCACTCAGGACCCCCGCCCCCCAGAGTTCAGATGCCTCCAACTTCTATGGGACAGAGTAACCACATGCCTCCGGGTCCTCCAGGACCCCTGCAGCAGCCTCCTGCTCAGCCTGGCATGCAGACAGGATTCCCTCCTCAACAAAATGGTGAGGATAATGCAGTTTACCTAAATAAAAATGCTTTGCTTTACCTAAACACTAAACTGCTTCAACTCCCTTCATCAGGTGCATTTGGGCAGGTAAGGGGCCCGCAGCCTGGATATGCAGGCCCTTACCCTGGACAGCCCAACTATGGAGCCCAAGCGCCAGCTCCTGCTCCTTCAGCACAGAAAAGACTTGATCCGGATGCAATTCCAAGCCCGGTGAGAATACACAAGACATGTTCAATTTCAATCTTCATTTTTCATTATTCCTTCTTTTTTAAACTAATTATACTGAATCCTTTATTCAAGTTATAAATATTGCATAAGCTGCGTCAAACTCCATGGTGTGATAAGTGTTTTTTTTTTCCATCATACAAGCAGATAAGCAAAACTGAAAACGAGGAATGATTAGACCTAATGTCTTTCGTTGTGCTTCTTTTGTCAAAACGCTTTTAAAGCTCTGTGGTTTTAAACTGCAGTAAATGAAACGATCAGATTTAATCAATGGTGCAACTTTTTCTGCTTGTTTTTCCTTCTTACTATTCTTCCATGTCTTTCCAGATATTTTGGTAGAGCTTTTTTTTCAGCCGGGCAGGTTTAATATCCTCCTTTACCAAAGGCTAACTATATAAAGAAAGATGTGTAATGCTGTAGCAACCTGACAAATGACAAAGCTCTAATTAGCTGTTCACTGTATTGAATAATTGAATCAAGCTTCTAGTCATTATTGGAAGGAATCAGAGGAGGCATCACATTATGTGAGAAGAACTATTCTGTTTTGCAGTTAAACTAGATTTTAAGTTTAAAACCTGAATAAAGGTTGATATTCTAAGATGATTATAAAAACCCTACCAGCCTATATGGCTACCTTTTCACATTAGAGCTTTTATGACATGTGGTGATGCTTAGCATGTATCTGCAATAAAACTAACTTTAACAAATACTGCTGAGCGTTTCCGTGTTAACAGTTCTGCCTGCACTAAAAAAGGTCTTGCTGTGGCTTCTCTTCTTACACTATTTTTTTATCTTTTCACTATTTATTTTGTTCTGTTTTGCACAATTTGCCGGACAAACATTTGATTGTAAAGCAAGCGTCTGACATGCCGGCTGTGCAGAAATCAAGACATAGAATAGATCCAGATGCTATCCCAAGCCCAGTAAGTTTCTTGTGTGCCTGCCTTCTCCTCTTCCTCGTGTGCTCCTGTCTAATTGCAGCTTCCCCTTCCCGTTTCCCATTTGTCCTCCAGACCCTCATCGAAGTTAGCGATAGCCATGATGCCTTCCTTTTGCATTGCTGTCCTGATTGAGTTGCAATTAAAGATCAAAGTTGATGAAAGGAGTCATTAGCTTTCATATTATATCTGATGTTTGCAGACCATTCAAGTTTTTTTTTTTTTTTTTTTTAGGAATCTAAACATCTAAATATGACCATTTTCATGATCTTTCTGAAATTGAATCTTAGAAAAAGGGTCTAAATTGAATCAGTTCAAATTTTGGCATGAAAACTTCCTAAATATGTTATTTACTTTGATGTTAGCCATGAAATAATGTGATCTAAATTTGAGAATTTAACAAAATACTCAATATTTCATCCTTTAAATATATTAGGTAATTTTTATTTTAAACTTCAGGCCTTTAAAGCCCCAACTATGATCCATTGTTTGCTCGTATTCAAAACCAGATAAAAGTGATTTGGTTATTCCCTAACCTTTGTTTTGTGACTGTTTTACTTTGAAAACTCTAACATTAAATCATTGTAGTTCAGGCATTAAAAGTCTGAATTATTTCTGATCTATTTTAAAAGCCTTATTTTAAACAATATGTTTGGACTGATGTTTTTTCATTTTCTAATGTCCTTTTCATTTGATACCTGTCCATTTTATTATTTTTTGTTTTTTTTTTTCTTTCTGCAGAATAATTTACTCCAAAATATCAAACTCTTTCCTGAGGGAACTAAGATTTTTGTAGACTTTGGATTTAGTTTAAAAAATAAGTAAATTTTAGTACGAGAGGCTTTGTTTTCCTTTTGTGTTGTGAGAATTTTAAATACCATCTTAAGTGAAGTCCTTTTTCCTGCCCTGCATGATATCTTCTTCCTCCAGCTTGTTGCATTTTTAGAGATAATCTCTTTGACTAAACAAGGATTTCTTTAAACTTCCTCATCTTGTCTTTGTTCTGAAAGCAGCTTGTGCTCAGATCACTTTCCTCCCTCCTGTGATCTGTTGAGGTTTTTATTTCATTATGCATGTGAGAGTCTTTTCCTGCATGGGTCTGGAACATTTTGTGTCAGATTTGAGGAGGTGCTGGGAAAACAATATCACCTTTCTTTGTACCAAAAAAACATAAAATAAAAATCATCTCATGCTCTCTTCTCATTTTAGATCCAGGTAATAGAGGACGACAAGGCCAAGTCTACTGAGCCATTCACAACAGGGGTCAGGGGTCAAGCCCCGCCCCTTGTCACAACCAACTTTCAGGTGAAAGATCAAGGTAAGCCTCCAGAAAGAGTATAAGAGCTCTAATTACTGCCTGTCCTTACAGCAGAGTGTTTTACGTATAATGAATAATACTGGTGCTTAGTTTATGGTGAAAGCAGATTTTTTTTTTGTCTTTCTGTTGCAGGAAACGCCAGTCCCAGGTTTATCCGTTGTACAGCCTACAATATGCCTTGCACGTCCGATATGGCAAAGCAGTCCCAGGTCCCCCTGGCTGCTGTCATTAAGCCGCTCGCCACGCTGCCCCCAGATGAGGTGAGACACGCTTCTAGTCTAGTCTAGTCAAAATCCTGATGGTCGAAGTTCCAAATGTAAGATCTAGATCAAGTCAAAATTCTAAAATAAAGTGGAAAAGCAGCGTGACATTTTGTTACAGCTTACAAGAAAAACAAACAAAAAAAATCTCTCAACAAATTTAAAGCCTGATGACGAAAGTAGTATGAGGAAAGTGAGGAAAAAAACATAAACTTTTTCCCAGTTTTTAAACTTCACATTTACAGGTATTACAGTTACTTTACCCTTAAAATACTTTCTTCAACCTCAAAAAGTGTACTGAATTTAATGTCTCTAGTTTAAACAGGTTATCAGATAAACTGCTAGATTTATTGGGAAACTTAAACTTAAAACTCCCAGTAGGAATCGATATTGATTCACAAAAAATACCTGAAAATTTGTGCCAGCGGTGTGTTAAAGTTAAACATTTAGACCAAATATAAAAAATATATGCATACATACAGAAATATATTAAGACTGGGCAATAATTGGCATTTTCGAAGAATCTCACTTTAGCTAAACACAATTTGCAAATCACACTAGTATTCAGTTTGGGTCACATTACAGTTAACAAGTGCAGGACATTACATTTAAGACTCCAGACCTTTAGGTGGTGGTAAAAAGCTCAAACAAGGTTTGTCGTCACACAGAGTGGAAAAGAGAATTGAAGCATTTTTTCCCACATGGACTCAGGCTGTGTCCGAATGTCCGCCCTAATTCCTATGTAGTAATTACGCCATTTTAGATGAGTGTCTGAACGTCTAGTGTACGAAAAAGTGGTGAACTTGAAATTTCTCACAATGCACCCTGAAAAGTGGGGACCATACATGGTCGCTAGACAAGCACATATATCCCAGATTGCTTTGCGATGACAGCTCTCTTTGCAAAGCATTATCGGATTTGATGTCACAGCGACCCGAAGTCGGGCGACAAATAACAAAGATGGCGCAGCACCATGCGGGGAGGCGGAGTCACGTGCCCAACTGGAGTGAAAAGTAGTGATCATCTTTTCCAATGGTCAGTTCACTATAAAGTCCACTATATAGTCCCCGCTCTATATAGTGATTGAGGGATCTAAAGGTTAGGCTGGACGTTCGGACAGAGCTTTGCAGTTAGGTCCTGGAATGAACTCTGCACAAACAAGCTTTCAAGGTCATGACAAAACTGAAACGCTGAAATGAAACATCTTAATTAATCCTGTTTTTTCAAGTGGTCCATGCTTCTGTGGGTTTTTCTCATCTCAGCCCAGTTTTCAAGTATAAATGCATGTAGCGACTCTTCCTGTCTTTAGCAGTTACCATCAGGCGTCACTTAATCAGAGCTTTGAGAATGTGACCTGAACTAAAAACGGTCCACCTCAACCACCTGTGATGAGGGGGGTGGGAGAATCCTCCACCTCTTCATATTGATTACTTTGGTAGCTTTTTTTTTAGGATTTTTCAGGTTCATTATTACATTATAAATCCTGATAATATGCACTTTAAAGTTTATTTTCAACAAAATCTTTAAAAAAGCATATTAAGTGTCTTAAAAAATAGCATTTTTTGCAGAGAAACTTTGTTCATAGGCTTATTAGCTAACGTCCTAGGCTTACGCTGGCTTATAACTTCTCTTTTTTTCCCTTTGTTGACTCATTGATGATTTGACTCCTTACTTTCTTCTTACTTCTCTTTACTTGCTGACACCAATATAGGAATACATTTTCATTTTGATAGATTGGTCTAGGGCTGCAATTAACGATTATTTAAAAAAATCGATGAATCGGCCGATTATTTATTCGATTAATCGATGAATCGGC